CGGAGCTCCAAGCAACGGCCATCACCTTGGGACGCTCGACGAGGAACAGGAAGCACGAGGGCGAAACACGTCCGCGCCGCCGATGCGGCCGGGAATTGTGGACGAAGCGCCAGATCCTGTGGCGCAACTCTTCTTGAGGAGAGGCGGGCCGCGAGCATTGTTGCCGCAAGCGGGCGGTCGTCATGCTCTCGGGGAAGGTGAAGCGACAACTAGCAGAAGAACTAGAAATGAGGCTTCGGAGCTGCCTGCGTTGCAGCGTGTGCGCATTTATGTTGAGTTGGGTCATTCTGTTGCGCTATCTAGTTCTTGTAGCAGCGGACGAGTGAACAGTCGCCGTCTTCAGTGGGCGCTATGCTCATCTGCAGCGCGCTGGGCTCCTTCGTGACTTTTTTGAAGACAGAGGCCAGGACCTCCAGGCGGCAGGCCTTCAGTAGAAATCTCTAATTCTTGCGGCATACTCGCCGGAAAAAGACGCTGCTGGAAATGTTGACCAGCCGCGTGCTGCGAATCTGGAGAGGCGGCGACGAAGCGGACAAAGCAGCGGCAGCCGACGTGCCAGGCGTCGCGAACTATGACGGCGTGGAGTTGACAAGCGGGAGAAGGCTCTCAACAATTCCAGAAGCTTCCGAGGGGCAGTCTCCGTCAGCATCCCGCAGCGACGCGCACGTGTGTGACGATGACCTCCTCGGCGCAGGCAGTGAGGGAGCGGGAACTTCTTCACCCGATGAAGACGAGGAGGGCGCGGGCTTTCTAGTAGAGGAAAGCGACGCGCAGGAGATGACACTTAGGCCATCTGCGTACTTTTGGGGTGGTGTTGAGTCTCTAACGAAGACCTCGAGGAGATGGGTGCGGCCGGCTTTTAATCGTTGGCTGACAGTGGTCGCGGTCTTGCAGTCGATATTGTCGCTTGGGTTTCTGGTCGAGGATTTCTTGAAATCAGGAAAGGAGTACTTCATTGGGCGCGGAGCAACGGACCATTAAGGGCATGCTACTAGGAGCGTTCTACTTGTTGCCGCCTGTTTTGCTTTCTTATTCTGTCTTGGGAGGTTATAAGCGTTAGGGAGTGAATGCTGCTCAGGCATGACGGGCGGGACAACCGAACGCCAGGAGTAGCCTAGTTTTTGTGGTACCGCTAAGGTTGGCACCATGTCTTTTGGGAGGGTGATTTTGTTCGGATAATAATCCAGGCGCTCATCACTTGCATCATAGGGCTTCCGCTAACGGTCCTCCAGGCGACAACATTCCGCGAGAAGTGCTTCGACCCTCGAAAGTTTTCAAAGTATTTCCGGATGTCTATGAGGCGAGCAGTGCACACATTTCACAGGGACTTGGCGACTGTATTGGGTCCGGCGCGGCGCTTGCTCATTTCTTGCGATGAGGCAGCTAGGATGCAGGCCGGGGCAGTAGTCGGGCTGCTTGGCGTCGCGGGTTCCAACTACAGAGCGCGCTGCCTGGATTGCGTTGAGCGGCTTCTTCGGTATTGGAATGATGCGGATTACATTGCGCGGGACCGGCTTCTAGATGCACTTACGGCGGGAGCGAAAGCGACGTGGACTCTCGTGCCGCATCATCAACATCATCATGGCGGCGACCAAAACGGTGCTGCGAGTGCTTCATCCTCGGGAGAAGGCAGTGGCGTGGACGAGCCTGCGGACCGCTCGCGGGGTCTGTTCCCTGCTTCATTGAAGTGGAACAGAATAAAACCACCCAGCAGGAACAACAAGAAGAGGCGGGCAACAGAGCTGCAAGCAGAGACGGAGGCTCATCCGCTGCGTGCTTATGGTTTTGCGACTTGCCACGACCATCCGGGCAGCATCATCACGTTTCTGACGATCTTGGAGAACTTGGCAGGAATGGCGCCAGAGTCTCGACATGAGTACATGGACAGCCTGGTGCTGTATTATCTACACTACGGAGACACCACGGTGGCGATAGAGAGATACTTCAAAAATTATGGGGCATTGAGAAGTGTGCTGCTCTTCGGCTTAGTGTTCAGCTGCGTGGGTGGTTCTTGAGTCCTTAGTTACTAATAGTGTGAATATTTGGCACTGGGGTGGCTTAGCTTAGTGATTTGCTATCTGTAGGCGCGGAGGGTCTACGACTACGCTGCGCGCATCTCTCTAAGAGCATCCGAAAAACGCGGCGAACAGATTCAGAACAGGGCAAAAAAAGCTAGTGGAGCACGTCTCAGCCGCGGCGCAGTCTTTCTGGGTTTCGAATGTTCTCGGAGGCATTAAAAAGCGAGAAAATGCAAGGAACATGAAGGAGGACGCACTCGTCGGCTTCGTCGGTGATGCGCGGACCATGATTCGGGGATGGGATATGTTTGTGCGGGCCCGGCACCAGGTCGCGAGACAGTGCGGCGGGAGGAAACGACGAAAGAAAGAAGGCGCAAGGAAAAAGGTCGGAGAGAAGTGGAGGGGGCTCTCTGCGCGCGCTCAGGACGATTGGTGGTGGAAGTCTTATGAGGCTTCAGAAGAGGAAAGCCTGGGGCGGGATATCGCGCTCGCTGTTTTGTCGGAGTACCGTAGTGAAAGGGCAGTGGACGCGAAGGCGCTAGAAGATGTCCGGGGGCGGGTTCGTTTCGACAACCACAGGAAAGAGTGCGAGCGCCTCCTTGGTCGTTGGGAATTTCAGCAGCTTTCGCGGCGCCGTGTGCTCGCTGCTGCGTCTGACATGACGGACCCGCGATATGAGTACGCTCTGGATGATGACATGTTTGAGCTGTTTGAAATTGCGGAGCGCGAGGTTGCGCGCTTTTGGTCGCCGACGAGTCTGATCGCGCAGGTTTTGGGTGTGATTGAACCTATAAAGGCGGCAGCGCGTGGACAGCAAACCAGGAAGCAGATCGCAGACGGAAAGCAGGCGCAGGCTTCTGCTTCAGGTATTTTAGCAGGGCGAGCAGCTGCAGCAGGTGGCGAACAAGTAGTTGACGGGCCACAGCTGCAGCAGGAGAAGGAGGTGCAGGCTTCGAGAATGACAGGAGGCCAGGGCGCTGAAAATCACCAGGAGGAGAAAGGGCGAGGAGTAGAACAGCAAGGAGCAGCCGCGGCACCACGAACAAGGCCGCCGTCCGTGTTGTCGGCGGGGCTGCAGGTGGAGCTGCCCGCCGCTCCTGATGGGGAGGGCAGCTCTACTACTAGTAGAAGTGGCGCAGCGCAGCCGGCGCCTCCACCTGCGACGCTTTCTACCACGACAGTGAGGCGTCTGAACTTGCGTGGAAGTAGTGCGTTTTTTGATCATAGACTTGCGCCGGCTGTTCTCGATTCGGATGAAGTCGCCTCACGGCACTCGGGCGGAGGCAGAATTTCGTCGGCGTCGTCATCTGCTGCGCCGCCAGCAGCACCTCCCGCAGCAGCAGCAGCAGCGCCTGATGTGGTTGCTGGTGGCTCGTCTAGCAGTTCTAGCAGTGGCGCCGTGGCAGCGTCGTCATCTAGTGCTTCATCTTCGTCCGCGGCCGCGTTCGTCCCTGGTGGAGGAGCTTCTGCAGCGTCATCGTCTGGAGCTGCACCACAGAACGAGCGTGAGCACCTCGCCCAGGGAGGTGGCGCTGGAAGTAGTGTTGAGGGCGGCCCTGACATCGTTTGCGTAGCGGGAGATGGAGCTGGAGCATACCACAGAGAAGCAGGACGACGCGGTCGCCCACCTGCAGCAAAAGCAAAAGCAGAGACGAAGAGGCAGAAGGCAGAGAGAGTGGCCCGCCTCTTGCGAGAAGATCTCGACGAACAGTTTCGAGACTTATCGCGCGAGCAGGTCATCGCTGTGCACACTTTTGAGCCAGGCCTCGCGTCCGTTGGTGAAGATCTCGTCGCGCGTGCTCCTCCTCGGAGGCCTATCGTCCGCGTTTTCTTCGTCGCATGGACAAAGAGAGCTTGCGACCGTGCAGCACTGTTCGAGCTGGAGCAGTTTTTTACTCTACCTCGTGGAGATGTTGCCTCGGCTTCGTCTGCAGATGGCGAAGAACATGATGCGGAGACCAGCGCCAACAACATAAGCGACCCAGCACGGGAAGCGCGCTGCGGCGATGCGTCAGCAGGAGAGTGGGGGCTGAGGTTGTGCGCATTAGATGGGTACAGCGACATGGTCATGGCTGACGATGTGCATGTCGTGAACGCTTCAGAGATCTTCCACTACACAGCGCGGGTAGAGTTGTGCTGTGGTCGTCGGCATGTTTTTGCAACAAGAGGAAGAGGGCCGCGGGGCGTAGATGTGCTGCATCGGGATCGGCAGCAGGAGCACCAGGTGGAGGATGAGGCGGAGCACTTACTTCTACAGCCACAGAGTGCCAGAAATGTGCCGCGTTCAACAAGTGGGCGCGAGTGCTTTGCTCGCGCTGAGCTGGCCGACGGTGATGGGCTTGACGCATTCGAGGACGCAGCGGCCGCGGAACAAGTGGGCGAGCCTTTTCTCAGGGTTTTCGATTTGCGCGCAGCAGATCCAGTCAAGCCGCTGGCGAAGCGCATGGCCCGGAGTGGCTATGATGTGACGTTATGGCAGAAGGAGTTAGTATCTTAATTATAGACCATCTACTTCGCCTGCGTGGGTTCTTTGATGTTGAGTAGCATTCTCCTCGCATCTCTATGCCGCTGCTTCTGCTTTTTTAGAAGTCATGGCGTTAGCAGACGGCAAGTAGGGGGCTAGAAGTAGATAGTCTTGTAAGGACCCTAATCTTGGGAGCTCCGAAGGCGGCGCGTGAACGTGAGCTGCGTCGGCTTCGGTTGAAGTTCATGCTGCGGCGCCGCTTTCGTAGGCGTGCTCGTGACAGAGACATCTACGCGGGTGATCCGTTAGCTGCTCTGCCGCGGGATGATGGGGACGATGGTGCTCAGATGGGCGCTCCACCAGCAGCTCGCCGCGACGTTCCGCCAGCAGCTGCTGCTCGCAGAGGAGCGGGCGCTGCATCTTCTGGCGGTGCTAGTACGGAAGACGCTGCGATCAGCCGAGAGGACAACCGGCGGGGTGGGAATGTCGACGAGCAGGACCACGAGGAGGAGGGGCTAGGGGGATCACGCTCGCCAAGGCTGCTGGTGTCCATGGTGGACTTTTCTAGTGCGAGCGGAGTTGTTCTTCCGCAGCAGGAACAGGACGGCGATCAGCGGCCGCAAGGAGAGCTAGGTGACGTTGGCGTGGACCAGCAGGAAGACGAAGAGCTGCATGCAGCTGGCTTGGGCGGGTCGTCGAGTCGTGGAGGCGGTGCTGGAGGAATCGGTGGGCCGAGGTTTCAGTCTGTAGACGAAGGGGAGGATGACCCGGGGCGGCGAGCAAAGATGAAGCCACGGGATCAGTGGAAGGTGGTCGACGACGTACACCTTACACCAGAAGAAGAGAAGGAACTTTATGGGAAATTTGTCGTCTTATGTAATATATTTAGATGCAGCTGGGCGCGCTAGTAATTAGCTAGTTTTCTTAGACGGGTGATTTGTGTTGATCGTGGTTTTCTTGATCCAGCTGTAGCAGCTTCTAGGGAAGTAGCTGCATCGCTATAGGTCGTGGCTTTGTCTTTCGCGTCCTTTACAGCTAGTACTTCAACGGAAAAGGCGCGCTGTGGACTGTGGTGTCAACTGGTTCTATTCTCTGTTTGCTAGTGTATGAGTAATGTCCACTAGGGGAAGGCGGCGCGCCTTTTCCGGATTTTCTTCTAATACAAGCTGGACCAGCAGAAGGCGTTCCTCGCCTCACTCGCGCAGCCAGGGCACCCGCATTGGTATATTGACGATGGTATGGCGAAAAAGTGGCGGCGAATTTTGTACAGCAAGGAGAAAAGGGTCAGCCACCGCATAACGGCAGGCTGCCACAAGACGAAGCTCGAAGGACTACGCTTCGAGGGGATCGCGAGGGGGGCTGCGTTAAAAACTTCAGCAAACGCTTCAATGCCACGCTTGAGCAGGTTTTGTCGGTTGCTCAGGTGTCAGCAAGCTGCTGGGAAGTATCAGAGAAACTTCAAGCGCGGGCGGCTGCATGTTTGTGAGTACTATGATTTTATACCTTTTTTTTTTTCTTTAGTTTTTTCTGAGTGCCGCAGCAGCAGCAGCCGCTCCACCTACTTGGTGGAGCTGGGAAGCAACAAGCACTAGACCACGGGCGGAGGGCGTTCCGCTCTTGGGTCTGGGGTGGAGCGACTTGCCGCGGGGGGGCTCCTTGTTGTAGTCAACGGAGCAGGGAGGGGCATCGGGTGGGTGGTGGTTAAAGGGTCCCTCCAGGTGCTGAGGGCGACTGCTTTCCCCCGGCGCAATCGCTGGGCAGCAGTGTTTGTGCGCTTGCTGCTGATGTTGGATTGCTAGGCAGCCACTAGGAAGGTCGGCCGCCTGCTGTGGTGGTCGGCGTCTACTCCTGCGCAGCGACCTTCGAGCAGGTGGCGCGACCTCTGCGAGAGTTGTGGCTGCGACCGCTCTCGTGGTGTGAACCTAGCGAGGGCCCTCGCCTCGGCTTGTGCGGCTGCAGCTTTTTGCGCTCTTGGGGGCTATTTTTAATGTCTTGCTCCGAGCGGCGCAACCTGCGGCCCGTGCTCTTACCTTCGGAGGATCTGCGCAAGCGTGTGACCACACTCGCGCCTCCATTGACTTGCCGCGCAGAAGCTTCCGCCGAGTAGTGGCGTGCTGAATCATGTGCGGAGACCATCAGCCGGAGGCGTGGAGCATGAGGATGGGCGAGCTACTCCCTGGGCCAAGTAGGAGGACGCCCTGACCTGGCCACCTCCTCGCGGCTATTCTCGGCGACCGCGGTCCTTGGTCGTGATGTCGATGGCTGGTCGAGCGCTGACGTGATCGGGGAGCGCTGCTTCTTACTTCTTTACTTCCCGCAGAACGGGCCACGTTAGGGGCAGCCAGTGGGCTCTCCGCTGGCGGTACTTGCGCGCTGCGTTGGTACTTGGGTGCTGACAGCTTAGGGCGGCCGGGCATCATCTACGAGAAGCGCCCTCTATCGTTTGGGGGTTACTCAATGGCACCAGGTGCAGCGCCTGTTCTTGAACTACTCGCGGCGCTGATGTTACTTGCTGCGGCCGTCGCGTACGATCATCATGCAGCAGATGGGAGGAGACAAGGCGGACAACAAGAGCGACGCAGCGAGCTCGAGGACGAGATAAGTAGGGCGGAGGACGCTGCGGCTCTCGCTTTTCTTTGAAGTGGGGGCGAAGGGCCAGGGCTGCGCTGGGCGCGGTCGCTGCAGCTCGGGGCGGCGCTGCTGACGTTGCGCAGCTGCTTCGTTTCTGCTCGTGTGCGTCTAAGTCTCGCCCGCATCTTCTGGGCAGCGAGCCAGTTTGAGAAGCAGGCCCCGGGTGGGTCGATCTTGAAGAAGTTGCAAGATGATTTGAGGGACTCTTCCCCCTTTACTCTTGCAGCTCGCGCGCTGCAGCCAGGGCAATCGTCTAGCGCTGCTCCTGGGGTAGCTGCTTGGCGATAATTTTCCTCGCAGCTGGTGGCAGGAAGTGCGTGGCAGTGGAGGCGCTTACTGGTTACTTACTTTCTTGCGCCTTTCGTCTCCGCTTATTTTTTTGATGATGGAAGGGGATGGCGCCTGTAGTTTTGTTTACGCTTATACATAGTATGATATTAAAGCACTAGCATGAAGAAGGTCGCTCTACTAGTCGACGTTGATAGATGTAGACCCAGCTGCTGGCGCTGGCGTTGCTTCTTTGTCGTATTCAAATATGACCGGCGGGCGCGAGCGTCAGCTGCTTCTCTCGCTAATATTTTCGGCCATCAGGCTCGCCTGCTTGGCGTGGGGCTTGGTGGCTGACGCGTAGGCGAGAGCGGCGGGGGTGGTCGTGGCGTTTGTTCTCGGCCCGTCTCGTATTGCAGCTTCAGCTCCTGGGGAGTGGATGTAGCTGCCGCGGAGGCGGGTCCCAGCCCTCTCTAGCAGATCGCAGCCCCAAGCTGCTGTGTTGTGCGTGGTAGTGGTTGTTTAGCTTGGTCGCCATTTATCTGCAGCTTGTTAGTGAGGAGGGTCCAGTAGGATTCTGCAAGCCCAGCGCCGTCGGCCGCGGGTGGCGCTCGCTTTGGGTGTTATTCAGTAGGAGCAAGAAGGCGCAGGTGTGGAGGAGGCTGCCCCACCGCGACCGGGTCAAGCCTGGGATCGGGCGTGCTGCTTCTTGTACTAGGTGGAAACCCAGGCACGCAACAAGTAGCGAAACAAGACGGGGACGAGCGGCGTGGCCGGGCAACTACATGCTCCCGGGACCGCTGCAGGAGCTTGCGTGAAGGCCAGCGGCGTGCCGCCGGGGGCTATTTCTTGTTCTTTTTCATAGTTTGCCGCTGCGTAGTTGTACTAGCACGCAAGAACAGGGCGAACGCGGTCGCGCGGTGGCCGCGGCGACCGTGCTGGCAGGCAGTCGGTGGCCGTTGCTCTGTAACAACGTACAACATGAAAAGGAACCTGCTCGCTTGGTTGCGTGTATCGTGCTACATGCTTGGAGGGGTTGCGCCGGTTCTGTAGCATACACGCAAGACGGAGACGTCGCGGCAGCTTTTGAAGGCAGGAGGCCAGACAGGCGCATGAAGATCCAGCAGACGCTCGAGATGAATGCATGAAGGTCCCAAAAATGGGAGAGCTTTCGAAGCTCCAGGGATTTTATGGCCATATTAAACGAGGCCCATGAAGCGCTTCAAAAATTTGCGCAGAACAAGTCCGAAGCACTTCCCGGTGCATTTCGCGGAAGCTTAAACGGCGCAACGCCTGAGAGCAAAGCACGATGAAGAAGCTGCAAAAAGGCCGCCGGATCTTGGCGCGAGGTTGGAATGGCTTGGGGATTTTCTGGGGATTTTCTGGGATTTTATAGCCATATGAAACGGAGGACTTGCGATGTTTCGGACCTTCTCAAACAGCATGAGGATCCAAAAAGTGGCGTGCTTCTTGAGCCTCTTGAAGAGGATAACCATATGAAGAACCACGCACAAAAAAACCGCAGAAGGGGACAGAAAAGCGCCGCCAGAATTTTCCCAGATTCTTCCCATTTTCTTCCCTTGCAACCTTCTTAAAATGGACCGGAGAAGTGTGGGGAATCTGTTGCGTTTTTCTGCTCCAAAAAATTGCGCCGTTTCATATGGATATCCGTCAAAAAGGTAGACCGCTTTTTTCCTATAAAAGGGGAAAAAATCGGGAAAGTTTTGGGATTTTTTCAAGGGTCTTGGTTGTCTGCCGTTGTCTTGCATGTGTGCTACAGAAAGAGGGCATGACCGCCGTGGGCTTCGCGGCTCTTGCATGTATGCTACAGAACGGAGACTGGGCCCACCTCTGCTGCAACTAGAGGCGTGGCCTGCTCTCACCTCCCTGGGGCAGGGTCGTCAGGAGCTACAGCAGCACGACTCGAACCGCTGTAGCTCATCAGCATGGCGGTCGCCTTGTCGTTGAGTGTAATAGTACCCCTGGCCGCCCTGGCGCGGGAGGGCGGCTGTGCTGGGAGGAGGTGAGCGTCGTGGACTATTGTATATCAGTGACTGAGGGGGGGCGGCGGTGTGCTGTGCTGGAGGAAGGTGGACAGAGCTGGCTGCCACCGTGCTGGCTTTTGTGTTGGTTCTTGCCTATTGTTTGCAACTCGGTATAAAGATTAACAGGAGCCGGACCTGCCCCGGACCAACATCTCTCCCCCGGCGTGGTGCTGGGGTGGTTGGAGGACGAGGCGCCGGGTGGGGCAGCCGCTACGCCTCCAGCGTGCTGTCGTGGCGGCGCTCCTGGTGGCGGTAGTTCTGCGCCATTTCTTTGGTCTAGTGAAAGAATATCTGAGATGCCCGCGGGCTCTTGCTTCAGCGTCAAGTAGAGTGGGGCGCAGCGGCTGACGTGGTTGCACGGCATCGGTGTGCCAAGATGACGCCCCTGGGGTTGTTTTGTTCTTGTTAGTGCTGCGTGGGTCGCGTCGGTAGTTGTGTGCTGGCTCGGCTGTTTGCTTGCATCGTGGGAACAAGAACGGGCGGGCGGGGGGACTGGAGGCCGTGTTTCGCTAGCTTTGACATTGCTGGGAATGCTCCTGCGGTGCTTGATCATTATCTTGCAAGAACTAGCAGGTTGGAGGATGCGGCCTGGCGTCGTCCTCGGTCGTCCGCCGCGGCCTCGTCCTGCTCGACATCGAGGACCTCGGAGACCGAGGCGCGCGCCGCGACCACCAGCCTGTCGGCTGCTGGCGGGCTCTCCTCGGTGCGGGAGAGAGGGTTGGTTCTCGCCTGGGATCATGGTGCATTATCACCTCGACGGTGCGCGGGGCGGGGTGCGTGTTACCAGGTGGCGAGCTCGTCTTCTTTCTTCTGCAGAAAGACAGCGAACTGCAAAGCGCCAGCACTAGCGTCTGCAGCTGCTCTTGGGGTTGTCCAGTGGTTCTAGACGTAGACTCTTGCTTCAGCAATTATGCTGCTGCTGGAGAAGTAGAAGGCGCCTGCAGTTATATTTAGCTGCTCTTCCTTGTATATATATAGTTATTTAGATTTAGTTGGAAAGTTGCTCCTGTAGTTCTTCTGCCTGGCAATTATATAGAGATTCCCCGGATCTTGTGATCGTGGTCTCTACAGTACGTAGCACTCTTCGGATAATTATGGGTATATCAGCGGCAGTGTCCCTGTCCGCCAGTGATCTGTTCTATTTTCTTTGCTATTCAGAACAACTTCTACTGCCCACATCTTCCAGGTTACATCTGCAGATTTGCGTCTTGCGTGCGAGGTTTATATGCGCGCACTTCTTGTTGCCTGGAGAACATAGCAAAAGCAAAAGGTCTTTGATTGAGGAGCATGCGGAAATTCGAGAGCTGTTCGATGGATTCATCAAAGAGCTGAAAGACGCGCATACCGCTGTAGCCAACGAAGAGGAGAGGCTCGCACTGTCTGGCGGAGCTGCTCCAATTGACAAGCTGGACGAGCTCGACATAATCTTAAGGTTGCAACTCTTGTTTGTTACTCAGTATCTCTACTTTTATCCACGCGCTACGCTGTTCTAATTTGATTCAGCACCAGTCGCGTGCGCTCCTTTAACTTTCTATGTCAGGTTCTCGCTCTCAGTCTCGGTCTCCCCCATCTCCTCCTTATAGTTAGTGTCTTTGTTCGATGGCAGCAGAGTAGATGGTCTTGCTCTTCATCATCTGCTCTACTACTAGAAACTCTTAATCAGTGAGGCCACCCCGCGCGGGCCGTCGCGGTCGAGTATTATCCTGATGTCATGCTCGATTCTAGATGTTCTAATGTCTCACTTGACCGCGGAGCCGACGTTCTTGTTGGTGGACGAGTCTGTCGCAGATGGGATCGCGCCGGCTATTTCATCTGACGGTGACGAAGATGGGCTGAGATTAAGCGAGGACTCCAGCACTGGCGCTTCTGGAGCAGACGAGCAGCAACGTGGTGCACGACTCCGACCACGCACAGGACCCAGAAAGCCTAAGGCAGCAACAGCGACAACGTCATCATCAACCACGACCACCACCACCACCACCGGACGCAACCGTAGGCGGCAGCAAGAGCAACATCTGAAAACCCTAGCCGCGCCGCCCGCACGACCACGTGTTGGTAGAGCAGCTTATCAGGGTTTGTCTGCTTCTTCATCTTCTAGTAGTTCTACTGGTGTGCTGCGGCCACCACCTGGCGACGCAGTTCATGTGGATGCTGTATCTATTTTCTCGTCATCTAGTAACTCTGCTGTATTGCTGCCGCAGTTTGGCGCTGTGGATAATCAGGTCGCGCGTTCGGCTGTAGTACGACCGCAGTTTGGCGCTGTCAATAGTCAGGTCGTATCTTCTGCTGTAGTACCGCGGCAAATTGGTGTAGTGAGTAATCAGGTCGCATCTTCTTCATCTTCAAGTAGTGCCGCTTTGCCGCGCACCCGCCGGAAAAGAAGCATCGAGCAGCTACAACTAAACGAAGAGGAGAGCCTCTTCGATGAGGATGGTCCTTTCCTCTAAAGCACAGCTGACTCGACAGGAGGTCTTTACGATGACGTCTCGCTTACTTACATCTGATGGTAGATCTTAATGATCTCTATGTAAGGAAATTTATTATCTCCTTCGGGAAAAACAGTCTGGTACCGATGTGATATGATTATAAGGCTTGCGTTTTGATGTACTTGTTTCTACTGCGGTGACTTGCTATTTTTTGAAGTTATTTGTACTGTATCAGTGTGCAAAATCATGATTACCATGCGCGCAAGCGTTGCAGCGAGGATCCCAGGGCGACGTCTTCATCTGGTAAAAAGACGATCTGGGCGGACTACCAGAGCCGCTGGCTGTGATAAGTTTTGTGAGATGCAAATAGGTAATTCCTTTGGGTATTGTGAACCCAGAGCTTCCGCGTATAATGGTCTAACAGTCTGCATCTGTGATATACATCTTATCTATTTCATAGGCCTTCTGCATATTTCTTGCGATCTTATGACACTAAGCATTGAATTAGCCTCGACCTTGAGAAGCAATTTGCTTCGCTTGACTATCTTCCATCAGTGTGTCTTATGGGATGGCAATTGTCTTGCTTCTAACGTGATTCAATGAAGTAGACTACAGCATTTTCTTACATCTCCAATTTTATTGTCCAATTCGTTACCTATTAACTTTCCGAGTGTTGTGTGAATGATTAATGATTATAGTTATACAAGGGAGGTGGCTGTCTGCACGTGCGCAAGTCACATCTTCAATAAGTTGAAAAGTCTCTGAAAAAAGTAGTTCCCGTAGTTGAAAAAAGGTGATATTGCTAATGTTGTTACCTAATCTGGCTTTGTACGTTGATCAGCGTCGTTCGACAATCGCTTTTGTCTCGTGATGAGGCCTTATCTCATGCTGTGCCGGGTACTTATACAAGACTGCTCAATGGATGAGATCGACCATTAATGTAAATGGGTGCTCAGTGTCGTGTTTCTTTTCTTCAGAGGCCAAGTATTACCATTTTCTCTTTATCAATTTTTCGGATCTAGCTATGGCAAAGTAAGTGCGAAATATCTAAACAAATACATGCGAAGCTGCATTAATGAAATACGCAAGGACATGCTAGCGCTATTATAACTACTACTGCTACTTCTAACGAAGACCAACAGACCAAACTGACGTCGTGGCGTCAGCACAGATTTTGCGTGTGCACTGAGTGAGTGAATCCATGGGTGAGGACGTAGGTTCGACATTCGATCGCAATCAAGCCAAACCAGGTGATGATGCCTGTAAAATGATATGAAGAAGCAGCTACTTGGTATTATTCAAGTGCGGACGTGTTAGTCTGAGTCTCATAATCCTTATACCCGCCGTTTCTAGAAAATTTCAAGGGAAGGAAGGAAGACTCGATGGTAGTGCTAAGTTCACTAAAAAGAATACCTATGAATGTGAGCTCCAAAGTGAGTTTTTGGGTTCGAGGCTTTTGCTGCGGAAATACTCTGCGTGAATGTGTTGCATCTCCATATGATAAATCACGGCGCAGGCCATCGCGAGACGCTTACGGACGCTTCGCATGTTCGAAGAATGAAGCACCACAATTACCCTTCTTGTGTGTGTTACCCGGCTCTCGGCTGCATCGTGTAAATATCGCAGCTTCACGCTCACGGCCAGGCCGAGTACTAGCAAATGGCTCCTCGTCTTTCGTGCTGCATTATTCTCTACTGAAATTCTCACCCTATCCAACAATCGGGCTAGAGATGAGCTTTCGGTGTCACATTTTTCTACGAGGAAGTCAGTTCCTTATCTTTGCGTTGTTGCTCACAATCGGTAACGTGTGTCTACGTTCGGACCACCGACAGCGAAACTAGAACTGTCAGCACTCAGCGAGTATGTCTAGTAAAGTGTCTTCTGTTAACTTTGACCCACCTGACGCATCTACTCCCAGCCCAGTTTCCTTCTTATATCATCTGCAAGATATTTCTCGCTGTGGTGATACGTTCGTCCTTCGTAATCAACTGTAGCGTCCGAGTGCTTTCTTAGCGATTATGATTTTTTCCCGACAAATAATATGCTCGTGCTTGTATTGGTCGCCCTTAGGAACATGGAAGAGATAATAGATCCATTGAGTACCAGTTTGTCACGTTTTTTTGTAGCAATCCTAGTACTAGTAGTTGCCCCATAGATAAATGGTTAAGTCATTCTTATGAACGAAGCATACAAGCCAGATTATCAAAAAATATGCCTGAGTCTATGCGAAGACTGCCTGCTTCGGATGTCCCGATGGGTCGTAGTAATTTGCGTCCATCGATAGGCCTAAACCAGAATTGGTTTGTCCCAGCCCCTAGGATTGGACATAGTGCGAAGCTGGCTACTAAAGCCGTAGGCCATCAGTCCATCTTGCATGCCGATCAGTCGAGGATTAGTGAGCGAGAGTATCCGCGGGTCTCCGAAAATGTTGCTGCCGTTCCAGGAGGTCTTAAGGGAGCTCTAGAACGACTTGAAGTGGCGGCCTTGACAGACGCGGTATTTGGATTACGTTGCAGCTTCATACTATTGCATCTATAAATATAATTCTGCATGAGAGAATCATAGTAAGTATTGCACCAAACTAGAACTCTATCTCTACCTCGTCGAAGTCGTCACTGATCGATCGCGTTTCCTTTTCATTTATGCCATTATTTAGACGGTCTATAGGCTAATGCTATCTCAACAACAGGTGAACTTTCCTGGCCGCGGCCCACGTCAGCATCAAGGCAAAAACATTCGTCCGCATTTAACAAAAAAAGAATTGAATAAGCTGGATCTAGCTCACGTACGCGTGGGAGCGTATCGTCGAACGCAGGCGCAGAGAGCTGATCTTGGGCGATGCGTGCTTCCTCCTGTAGTGCCTGGCGCTCTAGCTGATCCCTTCGATACACGTTACAACTTTTGCATACCAAGGAGAAACGACGCATGCAGCATCGCGTCTCGTGGTGGTATTGCTCGCATACTTTGCATGAGCGATGTTGCAGATACGCCCTTGGACCAGAAGCAATCAGCATCGTCGAGCAGTCGCATTCACTCCGTGCAAGGACTAGTGCGTGATGCTTCTTGTTCTTCTGCTTGGTCAGAAGCATCAAACGCTGCTCCGCGATCGGAGGACGACTGTAGCAACATTAGCAACTCCCATCTTCAGTGCAGCACTCCACAATATCAAGATGCTGGACTGATGAAGCGTGCGCGCAGTGCAAGCGCTTTGCCAGTCGTTGGCGAATCTCTGAAAAAAGTGAAGCTCTCCGATGAGCTTAGTGGCGTTAGTAATCATGAGAAACCACCTAGCCCGAGAAAGAATGAGACAGCAGAAGGTCCCGTTACAGCGCCTGCAGAGACTACTTATTCCTTCAACGGCGATCAACATCAACAGCAGAGAGCTTCCCATCTTAATAAAAACCAAGAGTCGCTGTTTTCGTTCTATCCTCACACCAATTCAGTCGAGTCGCACGAGCGTAAGAACTCCAAGAGCAAGGCGCAGTCTTCTGTTGAGAGCATCGCAGTCGCAGACCGTTGCACTTTGGTACATCTAGATATGGCGTCGTGCTTTGACTCCAACTGCGACTTTTGATATGAATGTAGGCCCGTCTTATGCTGTCGCACCTGCTGCCATTACATACAGACACAGTGCAAATTGAACCGACGCCAGTCTCACTCTCAGCTGAACTCCAGCCAATTCCGCTTTGAGGGTGGTACCACAATCAATATTCATCACACACACTCACAGGCGTCCGCTCCCGCGCATCTTCGGCTCTTTAGATATCACCGGGCGCTATCCGCATTTGTTCCCCCTGAATTAGGTGAAGCCCCTAAATCGTCCACCTCGAACCACAACCAAAGTCCGCGTGCACCACCGCGACCCGATGACGATGTTACGAGCAGCATCAAGCGTCTGCGAGAAGAGTTCCTATCGCCTTCGAAAGCTTCGCTCGAAGAGTTATGCTCAACTGGCCCTACATGCTATCCCTAAGACACCGCGTCGATTGATCCAGAATATTGCTGATCTTGGACCTACTTGCACTTGCAACCTGTAGACTCAGCATTACCTCTCATAAGCAAATTTTTCTTGCTGTCAGTAACGGTTTGCTTCGATAGATATAAAGCAATGGCGGCTCTAATCCGTGCTGCGCAGGATATCCGGAATCGTATTAATACGTATCCAGCGAGTACGACCGGGCTCGATACGAGCACGCTGAAAGAACTACATGCTTTAGCACTCAACGAGCGCCGATGGGTATGGGAAGTTGTGGGGCGTTATCAGCCTGCGATAACTTACGATGAGAAGTTATGGGTGATACTGTGACTTTTGCTAATCGTGCTCGCGCTGCTTTCTGTCTCTGCGGATTCCGAGAGGTTCCGTGCCGACTATTTTTGACCTAACAGCTATGCTTCCATTGCTTGTCAATCAATGATTGAGCAGTATTTATTGTTTGCTTCATTCTCTCGCCATACACTAAGACTAAATAGCTACTACTGCTAATCGTAGTCAAGATATTGGACCCAATTGTGCTCGGCAGCCAACGAGTGGAGAAGCGTTTCGGGACCGCCGTGCAGCGTCGTATCGATCGGGAGATAAATGGCAAATCGTATGATTCCTGACAAGCCCCCGCAGCACCTACTCTGGGTTCCTTCTCGGCAAGGCCAGCCGTGTTCTGTGGAAGAAGGGCATTAATATAAATCAGCGAAGTGCGCGTCGTATATAGTAAGAATGTCAGTAGGAGCTGGAGGACTAATGGCAGCGCCCTGCTATCTCAACAAAAATAAATCATAAGTAACGCTTCGAGGATGCCTTACGCCACTATTTTGATTCTTACTTGATAAAACGCTTCCGAGTTCTAGTAGTTTTTATCTTCCTACCATCTCTTGCTGCACGTCCAGCGACAACCAACTTGATCTGACTTTGGAAGCTACACCTTGTCATACTGGCCAGTCCTTCGTCCTCCGTAACAATATCAAGACCAATTTTCATTTGTATACATTTACCAGAGAAGCGCCCTGAATTCAACTTGGGCTCCAGCGTCGGAATATGAGACATCATTAAAAATTTAGGGATTGGACTCGCATCTCACGACTTCAGAAGCAGCTCCTTAGCACTCGCAATCGCTTCGCTGTGGTTAATTCGTTACCATTCCGTATACCTATACTACGAAGTAAACTAGCTCGAGCAAGTGACTTATATGCCATATTTCACACTTCTTCAGTGAGCGCGTCACAGCTGCGTCTAAGTCTCTGGAGAAGTAGCTTTTAAAATCATGCTGATGCATTTTGTATTACTTCAATCGTTTGTTAGTGCTGGTTGTAGTTCTTCTTGGAAGATGCATTGCCTCAATGGCGTGGAATGCGTCCAAGTACCTCTACGAAAAAAATCCAAGATTGAAGAACGAATCGCTCGTGATGCGAAATTCCTTCGAGAACTATCAGATCTTTGCTTCTCTAGAGTGTAGAAGCAGTGTCCGATATTAGTATCCAAGTAGCGGCGTCGATGTCGAGTAACGCAGAATGATTAGAGCCGACTGCTTTACTATTAGACCTGCAGGGCTAGTCCAGGCTTGTTAAATAATAGTGGTTGCCTGGTGCAGAATTCGCGAATTTTTCTCATGTCGTTATTTCTGTTGAGACCGATGTGGCCGTCGTGGTCACGTGACTTCCGTAACAAGGCATCAGGAGTGTGTGTTCTTTGGAGTGTGCAGTGAAGGTTTGTCCACTCTTTCGCATTGTTTTGGAGGAACGAGAAACAGTCGGCCCATCAATTACAGGTGCAAGAGCAGCCCGTTGCTTTGTCAGAAGAAGAGTCCACCAAATTCTCTAGTTTCTTCTATTCGTCGGAGCACGAAGTCAAGGGCGATATGTGGACTTATTGTCAGATTATATGTAGGACGCGTTTCTGCTTTTTGATCTCCAACTCTCTTTTTGTGCTGACGTCGATTTGTGCCAGGATAGTTCGTTTTGATTCTGCGGCTCACTCACACTTGCAAGCCTTTCGTCTTTCCATATGGGTCTCTCATCTTGTCAATAACAATTTGGTCTCTCTAAATGATCACTCTTCTTCGCTAACAGTATAGGGAAGAAATACGGAAAGGAAAAGCATTAGTTCACTCTCGAAAGAAAATTTTTCGTCCACATTCAACCTAATTAATTTTTTTGAGTCTAGCACTTACCCCTTTACTTCATTTAAAATTTAACCCAAAACAAGTACTACAAGATGGCGCCCAAACCTAATAAAAAGGAGGAGAAGAACAAGTTCACGGACCCTGAGATCCTTATGGCAATCGTCATGATGAAAGTGAGTTGTTCCTGACACTGATGAAGTTCTCTATTGTCGTAGCTAGGTGCTGCACTGTCTAAGGCCCATGTAAGTAAGGTGAAGGCTGGGCTTCAATAGCCAAAAGCCTGGCTTGCATTAGCCTTTGTCTGTGTCCATTGAGAACGCAGGTCTGGCTCTGATCTATGTATTTGACTACTACTTTTGCTTTCGCTTCTTCGATCAAGACAGATCGCAGGAGTATTTTGTCCGTCCCGCTTGAAGACTTTTAGCTAATACTATGTGTTGACACTCAAAACCTCACTACTCTAACAAGCGGACGCACATGACGGCAATCTTGCAGAAGATGAAAACCAGAGAAGCAGCCATTTCTGGATTTGTCGAAGATGCGCCGACGTTTAAACTTTTCAAAGAGTGGCTCATTGACTGCGGAAACCGTGACGGCAAGGTTCTACCCATCCGCTTTTTTCTGTGTGTTGTCTAACTAACTACAGCTGATTACACAGCAATCTAACTGTCCGTAAGATATATTTTATTCCTTCGTATGACCTTGAATATGCTCTAGCTCTAATCTGTAAATGCCCGGAATTTACAACAAGGTTACTCATTAGAGCACTCGTCTAGGTATTGGATAGGACTTCTCTACCTATCATCATCATCATCATCATCATAAACATCACCTTTCTCTCTCTAGCCGCGCACGGACAAAGTATTGCAAAAAGCGCTGACACACCAGGGTTGCGACGCGATCCGCAAAGAAGCCGTCGACAATCAAGGTATCTACATTTCCTAACGTTGTTGCTTTAGTAGTCTCGTACCTCGCTTCATTAATACAATGACGATTTTTTTTGTAATTGCTCTCGCACTAAACGTCAACACATTCAATTGTAATCATCGATGTATACCTACATCGACGAAGAACGTTCAACCAAAATAGGACAACTTCTATAACCAAACCGTGCTTTTCTCCGAATATTTGTCGATTCTAGAAGCGCGCTTGCAGTTGATTATAGAAGCTGTCCTATGTTACATCGATAGAAAGCTTCAAAATAAAACTTTTGGGAACTTATCAAAATCAACAAACGTCTCAGCTTTCTCCCGCTATGTGGACCAGCCGAAAAAAGCAACTGCACAGTTTGCCAATTTTCTCGCTGGCCCCATGATGGTCCCAGTCGAAGATGATCGAAGAGAATTTATCCTAGAGTCTGAGTGGATCAATATTAAGGTACATCATCAATCTTTTGCTTAAGCCTACACCTAGAGCATCTTTCTTCCCAGTGAATGGTCGGCAACGAACTACAAAAACCTTCATCGTTCATGTTTATCGTAGAGCACGTAGCATCCTCCTACACCTACTAATGTTGACTCTACCGAGTAAGACATCCAGTCGCCTCCTCGTCTAAACCTCAAATCACTCACCTACCCATATGAGCAATAAACCACTATTGGCAATCGCCTTAGCTTCCCCATACAAACAGGCGAGCCTCTCGCGTGCGATCGATTCCAGTTCTAGCCTGTCTGCCACTACTACGTGCTTGGAGATACTCGGGAAGGCTTGCTCCAACCACAAGCTGGATCAATGGGCTCGAGAAACAGCCCTTCTACAAAAAAAAGCTCATTTGTTGATTGACGACGGTTCGAGTTACTACCGCCGCATGAAGATGAACCTCGACGAGCAAATTTATGGGCCATAGGATAGATGTTTTTGACTTGTTTTTTACCTTATTCTTTAGATTTGACTTTGCATATCTTATTATCATTCGTTTCACTCAGAAACGCATCTGTATTGAAATACGAGTGATCCACTCTAACACTTGCTGGCTGCAAACAACCTCCTCACGGAAACCGCCCGCAAGGCGTTGCAGTATCTGCTGATGAAGGCGAGCGTCAAATATATCGTCGATGCTTTAGCGGATAAGTTAAGGCTTGCTGTCATTCATCCTAATGCTGCGCGAGCGCGTCTTTCATTCTCTAGAAGAATGAATGAACGCGGACGCATCAAAGCCAGCAACGCTCTTCCGGATGAATAGCACCACACTCTAAAGAAAGCAAAAGCAAATGAGTGCCCATTGACGACCGTGCGCAATGTATTAAGAACTTGCTTTACTGTCTCCTCCCCTCCTACAATTGCTTTGTCTATATTCTATAATCTCACCTCTTATAGATATAATTACCTTTTCTATAATCACAGTTGGTAGAAAAAGGTGTATCTTCGCTGCACTTGAATTATCGAAGAATGCCAACGATTAGGATTGCTCTGCTATTGTATCCATGAAAGGAACTGTTGTCTCGTTATCCCCAGACATTTTCGGACGCCGACGTCTTTTCTCCTCTCTTCCTCAGCTGCTCCGGTCGGCGACATTACGACCTGTGTGCGACATGTGTCCTGTTTTGGGCCTATGGCGGGACGAGTTAGAGCCATGTGAAACGGCAAGAGACGTTTACTTATGGCACACACTACAGCTATAAACGCATGATCTTTGATATTGTTCGACTGCTAGAGTCAGCTCTGCATCCACCAACGACCACGAGAGGCGCTATGAGCCACGACGAAGCTCTCTGTCTCTCATCTAGTTCTATTTACTTTGTTCTTCCTATCCTCGCTTGTTTTCTTCTATCTTGTATCATTAGCGACTCTCTCAAGACTAGGAGTTTTGTCTTAGCAGAGCGATGTTCTGTAATGTTTTTTATGTCCCAAATGGTCCTTGCGCCACAACCTTACATATTCCTTCAGTTCCATCGAGTACGCATATTTATAGAGAGACCTCGCTTTCCTTCTAAACAACCTGTGGTACTGTTTTAAAGAAGGGCGCGAACCGTTCCACCCCTCGTGGGAGGATGAGCTTAAGGCCTGGCGTGATTCATTTTAAGGACCACCCTTCACACGTTTCGAAGGGCACACAGACACATGCGAAAGATGACTCTTAAGATGGATGCAACTAAGCTCTAACGAAAAAAGAATGTTGGAATTGATCGATTATCGCTTGCAGTCTGCATCTGGTAGAGCAGGAGAAGATGAAGTGTGTGGAAGCAAAAAGCGAGCAGCAACAACGCCTGCCACCCGTGGCAAAGAAACGAGAAAGTACTAACTTCCTACCCATCAAATAACTTTACTGATCTTTTCGTTAGAAGTGAGTTGTTGGACTCCATGAGAAGGCATTACTTCGAGCTCTTCTACGAGAATGCTTCTTCATCTTTTTCTTCATAGCGTGATAGGTAAAGCTGGCGTCCTCTGTTCGTCAGCTTCGTTTTTCGTTCTTACAGCCCAATATTGAAGGTACGCACACCACGGGATGAAGGATGAGAGTGATTTTTTGGGTTTCTTGCCGAAAGAGCTAAGGATGCTAAGCAACAATAACAACGACACGGTGACGAGTGGCTCCATGCTCGGCGGTGGCAACGGCTTGGACGAAGAGATGATCGAAGAGTTCCAGGCGATGGGTCTGTCAATGGATATGGATGCCGATATCGCAGGCGATGAGACGCGCAAGGAACTGATGGAGATGCGCAAGAAACCAGAGACAAATGAGGAGGAGGAGAATCCTGCTCAGCTGCGCGTCAACACACCCACCGCCCACCTTACGATCACTCGTCCATCTCCCTTCATACCCTAGCATCTTTTCATTGAATCACCCACATCCATCGACAGGCTGTTGCCAATGCTTCATAAGACGCCAAGCATGAGTCAATGTCTAGCGTATTTCTTGCTGGTGTCTAGCTACCCGAGCCCCAAATACTCACTGTCTCTTGCTCTAATCATCGCGTCACCATTGCGGAATCTGCATTACGTCGCAACCACGCACGAATTCAGACGAAGCTCAACGAATTAGAGCAGCAGGAGGGTCCCGAAGTCTTGCCAATGATCAACAGGCTCTACGACTGGTTATTGAAGAACCCGCTGCCTCAACCTGAGTCCATTATGTTCAGGGTGAGAACTATATGATACAGAAGATCGGCCTCATGTCATCAGCGCACAGGATGACCTCGCAGAAAGAGTAAGTCAGTGTCTAAAACGAGTTGTTTTTTTTAGCATGGAGCACACTGATTATGTTGGCCTGTTGATGCATTCTTCTTGCTCTAATGCTAATCCCCAAGAAGACGAGCAAGGCAGCAAAGATAGAAACGAAGCTGAAGCGAAAAGCACTACCGATGGCACTTCTCAAGGACAGACTTCTAGTGAAGCCCGATCGGAGAAGCGCGAACGTCTACTACCGTATTCATCCTTCCTTGGAATTTTACAGCTGCTACACATGAACATCACTAAAATAAGCATCGCTTGGCTTCCTAGTGGACAAACGGAGTCAGGCTTATTATTTTTGTGTCATTCGGGGTGAGATCGTTTTCGTCTGGGGCTAAATACTTCTACTTAGTATTGTTTTACTTTTTTGCTCTACAACTCAACTTCAGCTCAGCAGACGACGAAGACGCGAAAACGAAGGACTCAGAGGACAAAATAGATCCCGGTTACCCTAAGGTGGACATCGACGGGAAGTTCTGCCCTATCCGTGTGTACGGCCTGGCCGATTGAAAAATTGAAGAAGAAGAAAAAGAAGAACACCCTGAGCACCTTTGTATAATTTCTTCCTGCTCGGAGTAATATCTTCTATTTCTCTCGTTTCAATCAGTTGCGGCTGTCATAAAAGCGCGTACGGTGTAGTTATGGCTAAAAGGAACTCTAACGCCTCAAAGTCTTAAACCATACTGCATAGTCCGCAACAAATCCACTTCTTGAATTGTCATAGGCAGCAGCTCGGACTCAGTCTAATCAGTCAAAAGACTTCTCCATTCAATTCATGAGGAGCAACTTAATGTGTACAAATCTAATACTGACCCGAAGTCTACTGAAGAACTTGTGCCATGGGTGAAGACGTCGAAGGGCACACCGACTTGGGACTTGTATATGGCCTTGAGGGACTCGGTAAATCCTTTTTTTTATTGGAGGACTAGGCTTCGTCTATCCTTTCCATGTAAAGCGCTTTCTTTGCACTCTAAGTGTAACGTGATGAAAGACTGAACTTTTAGGAGCACATAGCTCTTGCTCGTATTTTTTCTTGCTGATGAATAGTTCCGAGAGATTACGCCTGACTTCGTTGTTGTGGGATCATACTTAGCAGCGCATCGCGCTTCCAACAATATTGGTATTGCAAGTTCATGAAAAATGATTATCTTGCGACTTTTATCTCGTAAATTTTCCAGTTCTACGTAAAGCTGAGAGACTTGGTCGAGGAGAAGGACTTTGCAGAATTGTTGTTATGAAGCAAGCACTTTTTGAGTCTATGTCTCTGCTACCTACAAGTATATATAAGTCTCTGCTTGTATAGAGTTCAGGGACTTCTTTCCCCCGCTAAATAAATAGTCTCGATGTGTCAAAATTTCAGTGGAGATGAAGACAGCAACCTGGAGTCACTAGATGCAAGTCCTTGCTTTCAACGATAGAGATAGTCCTGCATTGAATTTGCATCGTCGTTGTTACCAGTTTCATGCAAAAAGCTTACTGCTCACTTGGTTGCTATGGTTTAACTTTGAATATAACTTAAGCTACATATGCTGCATCAAGTATAACCGTAGGAACTTGATCTGGTCAAGCATATCTTCTGAAGGTACTTCGGGGAAAGCAAGTCCATTTACTTTAGTGTCTATGCGTAGAATCTAATCATCCGCGACCTGCATAAGCTAAACAAGAAATACGACCCAAACAAACTCACCGACCCGCCTGTTCTTTCCGGAAAGGTGTTGATGGAATTCGTGTGCAGTGTCCGAGGCAAATTCGCTGATCCAATCTTATGACTGTTCGCTACCGTAGCGCTAATTACTCTTAGCTTGAGAGCCAAGCCAATTTTTCACAAAGACAAGTCACTCAGTTACTTCGTTGTAAATCACATATTGTCATACCTTTCTAATACGTGAAGTCATGCGCGACGGCAGCTTGGCAGAGTATGGAGACGTCATTTTATGGCTATGGGATTTGCTGGTCCCCTTTGCTAGTAAGCTTAAGCTCTACCGTAGCGCAAGCGTCGTCTCGAAGTCTGTTCTTTATCTGAATCCGCAGTCTTCATCTGCATCCCTCAGACCTAGTCTGTCTATAAGAGAGCTAGCATAGATAAAACGAGGCAGGTGGTCGCTGTGAATGGTTCTACTTGCAGACGATCTGTGCTAGATTCTCGAAACTAGAATGAGAATATCTCGTGCGGATTCTTATGTACCATCGCGGCACAGTCCTGCTGTTGCTACTTAAGACTATCTATTACTATCCATCTCCGCACGACGCGAAGAGAAAACTATCTACGACCAACTTCAAGGCACGCAGATGTAGCGCCTGTCGTGTGGGTCATGCAGATAATCTTATCCTCTGCGCAACTGTTCACATTGTAGTCGTACTATTCTAATGCCCGGACTGAAGGAGCTGATGCGCACGGTGAACCTTTATGCCTCAACGCAGTTCATTTCTACATGAATTCTTTCCCTCTGTCCTTGTTGGGGTCGGGAAAGATAAGCAAGAAGTGAATTGTTTTGATGCTCTCTAAAATCTCTTCGAGCATGAAAATACTGCAAGGAGCATTTATGGACTGTAGTGTGCTTCTAGATGGCGCTGTCGACTGGAATTTACTTTGTTCTTATTGTTGTGCATTATGCTCTTTTTGCAGCACTTTAGTATGTATCTATATACGTTTCCCGCTAGAAGGAAGGATATACTGGCCAGCAACTTCAAATGCCTCCCCCCGTCTTTCCCTTCACAGGCGACATGACTTTCTAAAAATGGTTCCAAACAAACGAAGCATGTCAGATCCACGGCGTGGAATCACTACAACAAATCGTCAGCGATTCCAATGCCAAGGGGCTACTGGCGGATATTGGGTATGATCCGAATAACCCGAAGAAGCGCTTTCTAGAGGCGCTAGAAATGTTCACGGATGAGATTGCCATACAGGTACTAGCAATTACATACTTGACCTGCGTCGTTATATCTGGGCAGTTTATCATGGAGGTCACAAATAGACTTGAAGCTTATCTAAGTAGCAAGTCCTACTTCTTGCGTACGCCATTATACAGAGTTTGAGTCTATGCGGCTTGGTCTACTGTGGACTAAGGTCCCTTTATGAGAGAGAAAGTGCACAAACGCGACCAACTGTGCCGGGCTGTGTCAGGTGACACAGGCCGGCATGCTCGATTCGGGAGGTTCTAGTATCTACTGTGGACCAAGGTGCCTTTATGAAAGTGCACAAACGCGACCAACTGTGCCGGGCTGTGTCAGGTGACACAGTCCGGCATGCTCGATTCGGGAGTTTCTAGTATCTACCGTGGACCAAGGTGCCTTTATGAAAGTGCACAAACGCAACCAATCGTGAAGGAGGCGTTTGTGCACTTACAGGCCAGCATGGTGGGCTCTGCAGTTTCTCACGTTTGGTGTGCGGCAATGTCATTTACTTTCCAAAGTCGCAAGTAAGTATGCGGCCGTGATGATCCTTGATCGATACTTTGATGCTGCTGGATTGATGAATTGAGTACAGTCAATGTCTTGCTCTTGCAGTTGCAAGTGTCCAGAAGATAGCTACTTTCTCTCGACGTCATTCTCCTCTTCATAATCACCGCCATCAGCTTCCGATTTACATCCAGAATTCGACGAGAAAAGCGAATAAATCCGACCGCTTAACAGCGGAATTTTCGAAATATACGCCATATATGCGGTACCTAACGAACAGCGGGATGACCAAAACCTTCACCCGCGAGGAATCCAACAAAATCGGTGCTGAAGCTTATGATAGAACTGACTTCTTGATGAGTTGGCCTCGTTGCTGTAACTGGAACAAGCGCCATGCACATGGCAACTATAAGCGAAACATTAACTACTTTGCACACTGCGTGCACTGCTAATCATCATTGACAGTTAGCAGTAAACGCAGTGCGAGTTTCCACTAGAGGAAAATAAGTAAGACTGGCTTGTTAATGACTAGAGAAGCAACGCTTTCTAATGTTGTACGTTGCTGCAGCAGGCGTCGGTTGTTGCTGCTGACCACATCAACTTGATCATTCAAGTTGAGCAGGCAGGTGCCGTAGTGAACCCGGAGTACTTAAGATTCGCGTATATACCTTTACTCAAGGCTTAGGGAAGCTTTTGCCCGGGTTTTCAAGGCTTAGACCTTAAGCTTGGCCCCCAGGGCTTAGGATGTGAAGAAAGATGCATCTTATCCCCAAAGATACACTTCCTCCCCCCAGATACATCTTATCTCCACAGATACACTTGATCGCCGCTTCTAATTTTCCAACAGTTATTCTCTTCCGAAGATGATTCTGACGCGATGCTGCTATCAACCGCCGAACAAGCTAAGCTCAGGCTTCAAACGGACCGCAACTGCTTTTGTCTAAATAGACAAGAGTCTGCTATTCGGATGGTAATGAGTGATCCCTTTGCCTTGATGGTAAAGAAGTAGTCCAAATGGCTTCTGCACATTTGTGTGCTCCATTTTATAGAAGCATTTCTATTAGCGCTTGCCAATTTGTGTCGCTAATAAGTAGTTGACTTACTCTCGCGAAGACCTATAAACGGTTAGTTTTCGACGTGGTTAGGTACTCGCCGTTGTATTTCATCATCACCACGATGTCAAACGCTTTCTCCCCTATTCAGATTGATTTTACTACGATATTGGCGAACCTCACCTCGTTTCGTAGCGCTCTGAATTGTTCCCAGCAGGCTAACGACCCAAATTCCTTATGGGCTCAAATTCGCACGAAGCTCGAAACGCTGCAGCACGTGGCCTGGGACTACTGTTTGTTTCCATGTTATGGCATAGATAAGTCTTCTTGTTGTAGTATGAGGACTATCCTGAATGATTTTGAATTTGATCATTGTGGATTCTGGTAGCGACATGTCTCAACTCATATGCATACGCATTAGAAATTAGCTCACTTGTGTCTCGTCGCTGGTAGGTAGCTTACATACTTGACAGTCATACTTCTCTCCTCACTTGCTGTCTAGTGCCACGACTCACGCGTTGGTCTTTGTTCTTGTGTTTATATTGTAGTCTCTTTATTACCTTTCTGTTCTAACGAAGGGCGAAAAACCAAGTGTGCTATGCCATCAACAATGATATTTTGCGTGGTGTCGAGTCTTCGGCAAGCTTGATCAAGCAAATCGAAGGTTTACCCATCTGGAAGCTCAGCAACAACAGGGTCTTCGCGGAAAGGTTGAACCAATTGGTGGTCATCGCTAAGGTACTATACGGCTTAAGTTTTTTATTTTGGCGTCGGCTTAAGACTTAGTGCTAGGATTATGAAGCTTAGACCTATATCTATATTTACGCGACCAGCTACACGCAAACTTATGTTATTATGACTCTACGTTGCAGTGCTATCATCATTTTATGAAACTTCTCTACAGCTTCAAGGCTACCTTCCTTGAAGTAAAAGCCATAAAAAACGTTGCTATCAGGATACTTTTACACGTCGGTGCACGGAACTGAAGGCCTACACCGCACGAAGTAAGTCGATGACGGACTGGGTTTCAAGAGCTCCGGCAGGTACGCAGAAGGCAGTCGCTGAGAGAGTGGAGCAGAAGCTTGCCCAAGAATGGAAGGAATTGAACGCTTCGATCAAATCAGTAAAGGACATGTTAAGAAATGCGAGGAGAGACATTGCTGCTTTAATTCTGTGCTCGCTGCGCAGCAATGAGTCACTGCGATCCTTTAGAACTTACTTATGCTCGCTGGTAGAAGAGTGTGTCGGAATTTATCTTTCTTGATATGGTCGCTTCTAGAGCTGTGCAGTAGCCGTTGCTTCTTCTATCGGACTTTATTACGAATCGAATATATTAACTAGAGTGATTATTAGAAACTCCTCAATCTCTCTAATCCAAAAACTTCCGGAGAACGAAAACGCTGATGACTGGCTTCAAATTATGGCATGGCTGAGTATACTTCTAGCATACTGATGCATCTTACAAACGCCTGCCCTTCTAGAATACAGTAGTACTTTGCGCCATCGCGCCGAGTATCGATCTGTTACTCGTGTAGTAGCAGTAGGTCTGGGCGCTACCTTATTTTTCTTCTAAGCCCTCGCACATTACTTGCGTCACTTCTATGAAGACGACAGGCGGCCACGCTGATGCCAACGACATGAACGATCGTTCCGGCGGGGATGCTGATGATGATGGTGGCCTCGATGACATCATGAATGTCCGCAGAAATCAGAAAAGGAAGAAGAAGGACTAAGCCATTCGTGCTTAAAGCACGCTAATCAGGATCCGTCTGGAATCCATCAGATTACTTTACTTTTCATCATTTGTTAGCGACGTTCTTGTCGTATGCAAAAATATACTAACTGCGTCAGAAGTAGGTTGTTGATTTTGATAAGGTAGCATTAACGCGACATCTACTATTGAAGGAAGCGAGCTTGTTAGCTTCCTCCATCTTGTTTCTCATGCTCATCCCGAGACTGATTCACAAGAAGTTGGCCGGCGGCCGCGATGGAGTAGCCCTCAAGTGACATGCTTCAGCAAGATGCTGCAAATTACTACTCGTGGGCTGTCCTCTGAAGCTATGTATGAACTAAAGTGATCTACTAATGAAGATTGATGAGCCTCCGTTTCTTTCTATAAGAAGAATTATTTATCAGCAGTTGCAGATCCATGCCCATCCTACTACTAGGTGTAGAATAACCAGCAGCAGCAACATCAACCAGACGGTGCATCAATATTGTCCGACAACTTTCGCGATATCTTGTTGCTCTATTTTCATTGGTAACCCTTTGTGATCTGAAGCAAAAAAGCATACCTTGGTGGAGTCATGGCTTATTATTGTTTATTTCTCGTGGTAAGAATCTGCTGTCCCAACTCACGAACTACATTTATTACGAGAAGATCTACTAAGGCTGAACTCTACTACCTACAAAGTTCATATTAAAGATAACTAAGCAGGCACGTGTAACTGGTCGCCATAATTATATACATGAGTAGAGTTATGTTTGGTGCGGACACAGCCCAATCCGCGAAGTCAACATCCTGTGTGTAGTGGCACAGAGCGAGTCTGCCTAGAGCCATTAGATAAATTTACTTGTTCTTTCGTTTTCCATATTTTTTGTCAGCTAGATCATAGAGTATGAGACTGGCAAGCTTTCTAGTATTAGGTCATGACGAATTTTCAAGTTTCAACTAGCGGCAGCATCTGTAGGAGAAGTTATGACTACGTACTCAATGGCATTGCTTTCATCTTGTTCTTCTTAGAAATATAAGTTGTCTTGCTGTGCTTGTAGTTCTTGAAGTATCTAATGTTTGTTCTTGATATTGATTTTGATCTTACATTATCGACATTGTATAGTGAAAACGCAATCTCAATAAAAGCCGCACTTTCCTAGAAGTTATAAAGATTGGCAGCGAGTACATTCTTAAAGAACAGGATGGTGCGTATCTGTGATGGGTAAACTTTCATCTATTTGCTGTCTCTCCAAGTAGAAGATTGCGTTTGTGAGTCTATCTGTTTTATATCTCATTGTTGGGACTCATGGTCTATCTGATTTATATCCCATTGTTGAGACTCATGCGGCCGCTCACTACGTAGCTTACCTTGCTCTCTAAACTCTCGGTCGCGCTGTTCGTACTCTTATTCCTTCGATTTCCTGCGTAATCCCTCATGTCACACCCTTATGGCTATGGACATTCCCAAGAAGTATCGTCGTAAGTGGAAGTCCAGAGTTTGATCGCACTTTGTTGAACACTGCAAAACACTTCGGATTTTCATCAAAAACGCGATAAATACGAATATAAATCATAAGTGTCGCTGTTCTAGTGATCTCCACATCAGTGGATACTTACAGGAGGAAGAGTTTGCGTCTTTCCTGCTCCTGGCGACAGTCTTACTACTTGCAGGCTGCCTCGATGGATAAATCAAGAAGGTCCATGTGCGTTCCATCTATCATTCATGAAACGACGTCGAGGAATCTTTTGAATAATAAAATTCTCGCGGAGGCCCCCTGAATGGATGAGTGCATGAATGATTAATAATGGCGGTGCCTTTCGATGATTGACGAGAATCAACGAGGAGGGCCAATCCATCAAACGAGTCTCAATCTGCTTGAAGCATTTGCTTTTGTTTGTCGCTGTGATCGACATTCACGTCTCCAGCCTGTTCCTGATTACGTTGCAATTCAAATCTTGTGTAACTTCTACTTATTCGCATTGGTTTCGATTTCGAGCTGGAGCATTGGCGAGTCGTCTACAGAATGAAGAACAAGTCTATAAGCCTCGGGTCTTATCCTCTCCCTTGAGTACTTCGCTCGTATGCAGTTTTTTTTAGCTTTGTTTTATTTTTATGCTGCTAAATGATAATATTTTGATACTCTCAAATAATAGCAGGCTCACGTAGCTTTTTTCCGAAAGTATGACACTAAATAGTAGCAAGCTCAACCAGCTTTTTTCCCAAAATATGACATTTGTCTGGCCCATAATTTCTGAAACTGCTAGATCTTCAGCGCGAAATTGAAGCGTGCGCGTACATCTTCGAAGATAAATCTAGAGTTTACTTTTTCACTACAGTTATTCGCTGCGAAGAAAATTGCTCGAAGAGTGGACATCTGGGCTGACCTTCATAAATAGAGGGTGCTTAAATATGAAGGGTCAGGGTTTCGGTAGCTTTTCTAAGTGTAAAGCTACTGCGTTTGCACATAAAGAGCATCCGCGTCCATCTCTCTGTGCATTCTTCGCAGCAAAGACCTGTAGAGCGTATCGCGAATGCATTACTTAGATAGGCCACGCAATCAAAAAACATGTCCTTGAGGTCGGTCCAGTTATTCTGGTGGGCCGTCTACGCGCCACCACGTTGACGGAACAGCTGCGACGTGATTTTTCATTCACCCAAGCGAGCGCTCTCGCGACAGCATGCTGTGCAATGTGGTCGAATACACGACGCGGAGAAGCGTTTTAGTGCCTCCCAATTAGGAAGCATGCAGCAGAATAGGCGGACACCTCGCAACAGCCCGAGGCATGTCTCACCGAGGCGCACGCGCTTCGATTATTTGCTGTCGTGAATCTACTAGCGCAAGACCCTAGCGCGCCTGCGTCTTGCCGATGTTTGACGACTTGCGTCAGTCGAAGTTGCCATAAGTAAGCAGCGTCGTTGATGTCGCCCCCCAAGAACGCAGCCCCCAGGTACCGCGAAGAAATTGGGCGCGGCCCTCTCTTCTGTCATGCTATTCATGGGGAGAGTGCGCTGGGCGACAGGAGCACAGACCACAGCGACTGCGTCAAGTGCGCTGCGACATGAGAAGGACGACTGCAGAATATTCCCCCCGCCGCGCAGCCTTCAGCGGCGGGCTTGGGCTTCAAGAGTACGCCGTAGACGGCACCCATTGACTTGCCAACTGACGTGGCATCGAGCACTTTTTAGAAAATGAGCGGCGTCATAGGTTGACGCCTGTGCTTTGCTCCTGTGCACAAGAAACACCGAGGGAAGCTTCTGCTGTTCGTTGTTCTTCTTGATATAATTAGTCACCAGTCGCGTGCCGGACGTTGTCCATTCGAGTAGAGATGGCCGCGCTGTTCCGACGATGTGAAGTAGAGAGGACCCCCGCGCGAAGTAGAACAAAGAAGGCAGCGGGCGCGCTGCTCTTTATTGTGTTTTTTAAACATGATCTGGGGGCTCCCCTCTGCTTCATCCCAGGAGCGGCCACGCCCCTGGACGAGTGAGATCTTTAACAGAGGATCACGAGAGAGCGCAGGACTGAGCGAGTGTGTACTAAAAAAGGCAAAAGTGAAAAACTGCACCCACATGGTCGCGGCAGATGCTGCGTGAGGTGGTCGCCCTTTAGTCTTTCTGTTTCCTTCTGGCGGCTTAGTGCTGAAGGTTTTTCAATGCGATGGCCATGGAGCATGCGCCTAATCTCATAGCCCGCTCCGTTGATCTAATTACTAGCGTGATCCCCCAGCTCGATTTGCGGAGCTGTCTGCGCATTTTCTTCCAAGATGTTGCGACAGGTTTGCATGCCTCTCATGGGATGGGTTTGAACCATGGGCGCACCATGCTCATGGGGATGGATTAGGGATTTTCTAGGGGGATTCCCCAGGGATTTTCTGCATCGTGGTCCTTGTTGTTTTTGATGTTTGTAACCTCTTTCCACAGGTGGTGAGCAGTCGGCACGAGGGCGCCATCTTCGCTCTTACTAACTTCAACTTGTGTAAGCACTCCGTTATCATATACCATGCGGTTACGCTAGGGCACCTCCTCGCGCTGTCTTGTCTTGTTCTCCTCTGTTGCGGTCTTAGTCTTTCTGTTCGTATTGCTCGAATCTACGTGGTCATGCTTCTGGTCTTTGAAGGAAAAAATGGACAAAAAGCAAACACTCGCGCAGCAGAGACGCCCCTGCCTTTAGGTTAAATAAAAAGCCAAGCGGCACCCACGGGGGGTCAGGGTGTGTGGGAATATCGTAGCTGGGCGCATCCTCATCCCAGAATTAGCAGGACGGTAGAACTTTTCTGGGCTCGGTGCTTTAGCTTTCGAGGGATCCGCTTGGAATCTTGGCCGTGACAGTCCTTCGCGCTCGTCTTAACCTTATAGGAGTGCCAGGGCCCTCGGCGTAGCCTTATAAGCAGACCCGCGCCCGCCCGGTCAGTGTGATTCGTTTCCGTGTCAATTCAGGTTCTGGCTCGTTTAGGAATCACCCCCAGCAGCGAGCGGCTTAACACCTTGATCAGGACACTTCCCCAGTCGTATTGTGGTCCCCAGGCAACTCTCAGAAGCCTTAAAGGTGCTGCATCAGGATCGCCTTCCATTCTAGTCATTTCACTAACTTCGTTGCTTGTGCCTTCGCGCTCTTATTCTGCGAGGCCATTCACTGCGCCCCCATTCCCCTGCCACTGTCAAGGATATAGTTCGGAAGGAGCGCGCGGGGCACGGCCATAATGGTTGTTCTTAGCGTTGTGCTTATAGCTTTGGCCCTCTACTCTTGTTCCAAGGCTCCTTGTCGTGTCTCGAGCGTGTCACGCCTTCGATTGCCATTCCCTGGAGGGCGGTGACTGAGATCACACAAGGGGCGTGGCGGTCTCTCGACGTTCTGGAGCTAAAGCTAGACACGGTCTCAGAGTCTTTGGAGCAGATGGCGCGTCTCTTGCTTCATCATTCCTAGGCCTATCCAGCCTCTGGCGATAACTTTCTCGCTGCTACTTTTGTGCGATAGGCCTTAGGCCCCAGGATCGTGCCCCGGATGGGGGTCAAGTTCGGGATCTACATGCCAGAGGTTAATCGCTCTAGTACTTCCTGGCCCCTTTCCTTAGTCAATCCCCTGCGTGATCAGCGCGGCCACCTACATGCTTAGCTTTAAACCTCCGCCAAAGATTCCAACTCGCAGGCCCCTCTGCTCCGTTTCAAATTCATGGCCAGGCGGGGCCTCACAGTTAAAGCCCACGGCCTGGATTCTTCTTGGTGTGTTCTGTCACATTTTAAGCCTGTTTCTCTTCAGACCCCGCCACGTCTGCTGTCGTCTGGTTATCTTCCCTCCCACGGAGACGGGCAAGCAGATCATTCTCTAGCCAGTTCAGATCTCGCCCTTGTTCATGTTCTTGCTCACAACCTTCACCAAATCGGGCAGCCTTAGCCTTACAATTCAAAAAGTGCGGCACTTTTTTGGTCTTCCCTAAAGAAAAAGGGGGGACCCACTTCAGAGGACCCACTTCCAAGTGTGTGGCTGAAAGCATTCCGGTAGGAACTTTTTCGGTCGTGCTTTTCGTCCCCCACCTTCTGACGCTCTCGACCCCCTTCGAGACAGGTCGGAGACTGGGAGTTTCTAGCCCTTCTCCCGGCCAACGTTCCTCGAGGTTAGTCTGTCCCCCCCTTCTTCTCTTTCTCTCTCTTCCTCCTTGTCTTCTTGTTTTTTGTCTCTGTCTTTTTTCTGCTTTGGTCGAGTCTTCCCCCCAGGTTCTATTGGGGGGAAGTGACGGGGGCCCCCGCCTCCTCTTCGTGCTTGGCTTGCACCGACGTAGTCCTCGCGTCTGGCCGTTGAAGGTTTTTTTGGGTCTTGCGATGGCGCGCGCGGAGCTCTCCCCGTCGCTTCCAGCTCTTTCTCGTGGTTCCAGTTCTCCGTGTCGCCACCTTCTTCCCAGTCATTTCCTCTTCTTCTTCTTCTTCTTCTTCTTCTTCTTCTTCTTCTTCTTCTTCTTCTTCTTCTTCTTCTTCTTCTTCTTCCTTTTTCTCTTCGTCTTCTTGTTGTTTGAGGGTGCACCGCCAAAACGGCAAGGCGCAGCTTAACATCATTCCCGGGACAGCAGAACGAGTGCGGCCACTGCTCTCCCAGCTTTCGCTTTTTTTTCCCCTCGGCGCTTCAGACTGTACCCCATCAGCAAAGTGCTAACTACTACAACTACTACTGCCTTCTAGGTAGTGCGCAGTGCTACTGTTCAAACAAATACGACGAGTGAGGCCACAAGTTGAAGCCGATGAAGAACGCCATGAAGATGAAGTGTCTTCGTCTTGTGGCCTCGCCCGTTCATTGAAGAACGCCACGAGAGAGTGTCGACATTCCCTCATCTATGATTCGCTCAGTCAGTGGCAATCTCCTTTCACAGACGCTGTCGACTAAGTACAGGGATGCTGCAGCGGCTATCGATCTAGCTATCGCTAAGACCATCGGAGATTATGGCTCAGGCCGACCAATGAAGACGATGTAACTCAGATGTTCTATGTAGCTCTATGTCTATAGGGGTCATGCACTAGCTCGCAGATGTTCGCTGTAGCTCTATAGAGTATATCTATATGCGTCAAAGTAGTCTTACTGAGACGTGCGAGTATTAATATTAGTGCTAGTATTTATAGTATTAGCTTTAGCAATCGACCTCAGTTCCTTGAGAGCCTTCCGTGGGAGGCCTTCCTTAAAGAAATGGAAATCCTTAAGATTTTTATCATAAAAAGTGACTATAGCTTTTTGCTTAAGGGACAAAAAGGCTCCCTTAAGTTAGGGCGTAGCTGTTATAGAATTGGGCTAATAATAGGCCCTCCCTTAAGGGCATTAGCCCTTAGCTTGCTAGCTTAGCCATGGCCAGCTAGCTAGCTGCTTGCCCCCTGCTAGCGAGCTTGCTGGCTTGCCCCTTGCCCGGAGGAAGCTAGTGGGTAGGTTAGCCGTAGCTAGCCTGCTCGGCGCTTAGCCATAGCTAGCCTGCTAGCTGCTTAGCCATGGCTAGCTAGCAAGCTAGCGGCTTGGCCATAGCTAGGCTGCTAGCAGGTTAGCCGTGGCTGGCTTGCTAGCTGCTTAGCCATAGCTAGCTTGCCTGTTAGCTCCTTAGGGTAGCCGCAGGTAGCTTGCTAGCCGCTGCGCCATCGCTAGCGGACTTATCAGATAGTTGCCCAGCTCTGCCTAGCCAGTTAGCTACTTTCTTGCTTGGCCATAGCTAGCTTGCTTCCTGCTTTTAGCTGCTTCGCCATAGCGAGCTTGGGAGTTGCTTGGGGAGACCTAGCTCGGCAACTGCTTAGCTATAGCCAGCTCCCTAGCTTACCTGCAGCCAGCTTGCGCCGTAGTGTTGTCTGTCTAGTTGCGAGCCGGAACCTTTGCCCAGTACAGCGGGCTCTTGATGGGCCCGCCTTCTGGGCATGTATTTGCACAGTTAACCAAATCTGCGATCTCCCTAACGGTGGGCTCCTGAGGATTAAAGGTGGGCCACCCTCAAGGAACTCCCTTAAGGGCCCCACTCTTATTAGAAGTGGTTACTATAGCCCCCTCTGTAAGGGCCCTCCCACCCTTAAGAAAGCGGCTAGCGCAAAAGCTCCGACAGCTATGACAGAAGCAGCTGGCCAGCCTGTGGCCTCTAGGCTACCTCCCTGGGGAGCCGCCCAAGGCTTCTGAGCTAGCTGGCCAAGCAAGGACCCACTCTGAGCCAACTGGCCAAGGCTTCTGAGCTAGCTGGCCAAGGCTTTTAAACTCGTTGCTTGTAGCTTCTGAGCTGGCTGGCTATGGTTTGCGAGCTCCATGGCCACGGCTTTGGAGCTCGCTCCACGTGGCTTCCAAGCTGACTGGCTATAGCTTCCAAGCTATCTGGCCATGGTTTCTGAGCTAGCTGGCCAAGGCTTCGGGGCGAGCAAGCTGGCGACAGTTTCTGAGGTAGTCCGCCACGGTGCTCAAGTTCACTGCTTGGCTCCCCCGCAGGCTAGCAAGTTGCCCACCAAGGCGTCAGAGCTAGCAAACTGGCCAAGGCTTCAGAATCAGAGTTACCTAGACCTGGCCAGGGCTTCGTAGCTAGCTGCCCGCCGCTTCTGTGCTAGCTGTCTAGGCTAGTTGGCCATGGCTTCAGAGCTAGCGCGCCATGGCCATGGCTTCCAAGCTGCCTGGTCGTGGCTTCTGAGGTCTAAGCTCACTGGCAATGGCTTCGAAGCTCGCTCACCATGCCCTCCGGGATGGCTGGCCGGGCTTCCAAGCTAGCTGGCCATGGCTTCCAGCAAGCTGGGCTGGCTGGTCATGGCTTCCAAGTTAGGTGGCCACGCCTTCGGAGGCCACGGCCTCCAGGCTAGCTGGTCGCGGCTTCTGAGCTAGCTCGCCATGGCTTCCAAGCTGACTAGACACGGCTGCTAAGCTAGCTGGCCATGGCTTCGCTCTGAGCTAGGTCGCCACGGCTTCACACTGAGCTAGGTCGTCATGGCTTCTCTCTGAGCTGGCTCGCCATGGCTTCCGGGCTAGCTGGCCCCGACTTCTGGGCAGGCTCGTCACTGCTTCCAAGCTGGCTGGCCATGACTTCCAGGCTAACTGGCCAAGGCTTCCGAGCTACCTCGCCACGGATGCTTGACCCCTAAGCCAGCTGGCCAAAGCTTCCGAGCTCGCCGAGACCGGCTTGGGCGTCCATTGGCTTCCCACTAAGCAAGCTGGCCAAGGCAGTAGCCGTAGCAGTAGCCAGCCTACTCGCCTCGCCACAGAGGGAGCCAGCTTGCCAGCCTTTCTAGTCTGTTGGTGACTTTTTTCGTTTGTCTTTCGGTGTCTTAGTTGTTATCTCCACTTGTCTAGTTGTTAACCTGTGTACTTTTGAAGTTGAGCAAGCTCTACGACCTTCTTAGGAGTGACTCCTTGGGGGCAGCTGCTTAATTAAGGAAGACCCTCAAGGGAGCGGCAGAAAGGTGCGCGCCACCTTTAAGAAGCTCCGCTAACCTAAGGGCCTTCTTCTTAATAAAGTTGGCAATTATATATTTATAGCCCGTTCGTAAAGGAATTGCATACCCTGAGCCAGCTGGACACACCTAGCTACTTCTAAGCCAGCGGCCCAAGGCTTCCAAGCTAGTTGGTGCCGGCTTCTAAGCTAGCAGGCCAAAGCCATGGGGCCCATAGGCTTCTAAGGAGGTAAGCTAGCAAGTTGCCCGGGCCAAGGCTTCTGAACTAGCTGGCCATAGCTTCTGAGCTAGCTGCCCAAAGCTTCGCATTTTGTTGGCTGCCCATGGCGGTGGCTTCTCTCTCAGCTAGCTGGGCAACTTCTGAGCTAGCTGGCCATAGCTTTCGAGCTAGCTGGCCAAGGCTTCTGAGCTAGCTGGCCAAGGTTGCGGAGCTAGCTAGCCATCGCATCCGCGGGCGCTGACTTTTATTTTTTATGGAAGCTAGCCAGCCCAGCTGGCCTTCTGTAGCTTCTGACTGGGCTGGTGGGCTGTTCGTTTCAAGCTCGCTGCCGATGGCTTCGCCCCTCTGGCTCCCAGTCTAGGCACCTAGGGGGCTCTAAGCTAGCTGGCTGTGGATTTTCAGCTCGTTGGCTAGGGCTTCTGGGCCAGGTGGCTCCAGCTTCGAAGCCCTCTGGCCTTGCCTTCCAAGCTAGCTGGCTAGGGCTTCTGGGGTAGATGGCTAGTGCTTGCGCCTCTGCTCTGAGCTCGCTGGCTACCTATCTAGGGGCCGCGTGACTGACATGCGCAGGCGTTTCCTTTGGTGCTCTTATCTGTCTGCTTTTCACCCTCGGGCACCGGCGGGCCCTTGTTGGGCCCGCGTGCGGGGTCCGTATACATAGCATAGAAGACTGAGAAAGATCTTTGATCTTGAGGCAGAGGCCACATGAGTGGCCGACCCAAGCTGGGCGAGACGCTAAGGCACGGGGAGGGCGTAGCCTACACCGCCAAGGGCAGGGCAGAACCGGCCCGAGCGCTCTCCGAGGCAGTTTTCACAGGGAAGGAGCCTCCAGAACTATGAGCGCAGGACCACGCGCGCACGCTGCCCCGGGAGCACATCTGAGAGCCTCGAGGGGCAAGCGCCACCGGGCAGAAGGAGGGGGAGGACATAAGTAACTGCCAAGGAAATCGAGGACGCCACGAAGAGGCTCAAGCCAGGCAAGGCAGCAGGAAGCGACCAGCTAAAGAGGGAGCGCTGTGAGCTTCTGAGCGAAAAGAACCGGCGCCACTTCAGGAGCAAGGCTTGGAGATATTGACAGGAGGGAGCTTGGGAGGGAGGAGGCGGGCCCCATCACGGCAGGAATGCCTAAGCAGGGGGGGGGCCACGGTAGTGCGGCTGGGTGGAGGCCCATCGCTTTGCTGAATTTCTTCACCGGGGAGGGTTTTGGCGTCCGTGTTGTATCTCGTATGTGCGCAAGACTCGTAGGCTTGACTGGCGCAGTCCTCTCGGAGGTGCAGGCAGGTCACAGGGCGCACAGGTAGACAACGCGCGGCCCCTCATGCTAACGCCTCAGGCATGTGCAGCCGCGGACAGTGTGGCGCCGGTCTGTTTTGGAGACTTGGCGCAGGCTTTCGACACGATGCCCAGGGGGCTGGCTGCTGGGGCTCGCTTTCGAGGCGTATGGGATACCTCCCAAATAACGGGAGAGCCTTTGCTAGGCTTTGCACAAGGAAGGGTCGCCGCTTGCTTGTAGTACGGAGGGAGACAGCCGGCCGCCAGCGAGCCAAGAGAAACAGCAACAGGGACGAAGCGGAGGCGCCGGCTATCGCCCTCCGCCTTCGGCGTGTGCGTATGGAAGCTACGCACTACTTAGACCGCGCGGACCTTGGGGAGGGCGCTGCGCTACATAGGGCGACAAGGCTAGTAGAAAGACCTTGACGAAGAGGCTGCTCGGCTGTTTACTGCACGCGGACGACGTCGCCCCCGCTCTAGCAGAGGACGCTGAACACCTAGGAAAGAGGAGCAACGCCGGGGCCAGTGGTTGCAACAGCCTCGGAGTGTGGGGCGACCGTCAACCTCGCCGAGAGGAAGCGCGCAGAATCCAACAGCCATACCAAGGAAAGGGGCCCAGACTGAAGGGGAGGGGCCCCCTCGCACCGGGGTGGGACGTAGTGGAACGACTTCGGGAGCCTGCACACCTCGGCAGCATGCTAGAACTAGCACAAGACTGCGACGACGAGCCAGGCGTGAGCAATGGGATCGATGGAGCGGACCCGCAAGATGTGTGGGGAACTCTCAAGGGGCTGCTTGTGCGTAGGAGTCCGCAAGGATCTGAGGACGTGAATCCTGCGGGTGTTTGCGCTGCCAGTAGTGTGAGGCATTTGGCGGAGGACCAGAGCAGCCGCGCTCGACAGGTGGCGGGGCAAGAGGCTGAGGCCTTGCATAGGAGCCACGAAGGCGGACCACACCAAGACGGGCGACATGTGAGGGAAGAAAGAGCCGGCGGGACGAGTGCTGCGCAGCTACATTGCAGCCAGAGGGGGGGCGCCTCAAATGCGTGGGAATTCTATCGCGGTACCCCTGGGGCAGGTGGGTAGGGATGACTCTACCAGCAGAAGGGGACCACTGTGACAACACACGAAACAAGAAGGAAGAGGGTCGCCGTGCGTTGCCTCTAGAAGGCAGCGGACTGCTGCCCCCAAAGCAAGGGGGGCGCAACTAGAACAGGCAGTAGGCCGAGACCCCTGGCCGCAAGTAGTCAGCTGGAAGCTTGGGAAGTGGTAAGCCAAAGGTGCCCCAACGTAGCCCGGCTGGAGGCCGCGAAGTGTGTAGTGAGGGAGAGCGCGAGTTCGTGGCTGCTCTCGTCGGTTCTGCTCTGTTGGTGTTACTCTATCGAAGAGCATTAGTGCTAGGATGTGCCGCGCGAGCTGCTCATGAGGTCGCAGAACGCTTGCGGGATGGTCTCACGAGAGGGCTGGGGACATCTTGCGAGCCCATTCACTTCCACTTCGCTGGCGCTTCCACCTCACTCCAATTACTTACCTCACTCGACTCTCTTCACGACACACCGAGGGGGGCGCGGCCTCACCACCTTGCTGCAAGCGCACGCGGCAGGCTGCTCATGCGGCGTGTTAAGCTGGCGGCGCCTCGCTACGCCTCCCCCGGTCACATGGCGAGCGCGCTTCCCTTCTTTATAGGGAGGCGGACCCATATCAGCACGCACCAAGGGAAGCACGCGGGCAACGTGACGCACGCGCGAGCCGCCTACTACTTTTAGGATACACGCAGAGAGATCTCACGGCGCAAAGACTAAGACCAGGCTGCACTTTCGCAAAAGCTCTACCGTGGGCCTACACTGGCCACACAGATCGCAGGAACTAACCAACTGCTGCGCGAAATGTTCAGGGGAAAATAAGAAGCGGCTGGGGCCCACTCCGCGCGGATTCTGCCTCGTCGACTAAACTCGTGCGACCTTTTTCCTGCCAAGGCTGGTCTATCTGTGTTGGTCTTGCCTTGGTCTCTCTGTCTTGTGAAAGCGCTTAGGCCTTAAGCTAACTCTAGGCATGGAGCAGAGGGGATAAATTTTTTCTGTAAGGTTGATGGGTTACACCTCCTGGGCGCCATCTTGCGCAATTTTTCTACGCTGAGCCGGCGCTTCGAAGCAGAAAACGCCGCCGGAAGTGTTGGGCTTTATTTTTGAAAACGGCACAGGGGAGGCCGGGAGGGTTTTTCATTAGTTCCCGCTGATAATTGGTGGCGGGCTCGTGGTTGGAGTAGGTAAAAGCTCAGGCTGGCTCTTGGTCTTGTGTCTGGCGTGTGTGCGGGGCAGGGGTCTTGGAGGCGCTGGGGAGGGTAGTCTGGCCTTGTTTGGCTTGCTTGCTCTTGCTCGAGTCGCTCCCGGGGTTTGCTGCTGAGTTGGGCCCTGTGTGTTGCTCTGGGGCCGGATCGATCGTCTTCGCGAAGGTCTGGCCTCAGTTTCGACGGACGAGCTCGCCTGCGTAGCTAGGTTGCTGCGGGTGTCTGCTTTGGGCGGAAAGTTTTCAAAGTATAAAACTTGCCCAAAATAAATGTCGGGTCTTTGTGTCTGTGGGTGCCGTGGGCTATGCGTAAGGGCTTCCAGGCTTTTGAAATTTTTTGGCTTTTTGCAGTTTTTTTGCCAGAATGTCGCGCATTTTTTTGGCTTTTTTTTCACGGAAAAACTTCTTGGGAAAAGTCTTGCGCTTTTTTCTTAAGTAGAAAAAAGAGCCGAATTCTTTAGGCTTTTTCTTGTCAGTTTGAAGCCCAGGACGGTTCGGCGGGTGCGTGAAGTGCGGCGGCCGGTTCTCTGGTGTTGTGGGTTGGTCCTCTGTCGTATCCGAGCAGGGTGGGACGTGTTGCACCTGGTTGGGAAAGGGCGGAGGCTCGCAGGAGTTGACATGAGAGGGCTGACCGGCCCGCGGGAGTTGGGTTTCTGACTCTTTTTGGGGTTGTTTTGGTGGGCTTGTGCTTGTGAGTGCACGCTAAAAAATGAAAAAAAGTCCGCGCACTTTTGAAGGGCGGGCTCATTTCGAGGCGGTTCGGGATAGCAATACTGATAAGGCAGAGCCATCCGCCTCCGCGAGCAAGCTACATGACAGGAAATCGCCAGAGGGGATGCCCAGCGACAGCGCGAGTAGACAGCATGACTTGAGCAACGCGGTCCCGCGCTAGCTCTCGTGTGTGCACTTACTTGCTCGCCCCCACTCCGATACGGTGGACAGTTCAGAACCGAGCTGGACCCACAGGAAAGCTGCTAACCAGCTTGCTCCTTGCGCATGGATTGGATAGTGATTAGGTAACGGCTACTCTGGTGGCGCAGTCTGTCAAGTAATCTACTCTAACCAACACAGGGAACAACGAAGCGCGCGCCTCTGCTCTTCCCGGCATGCCTTTGAAGAGAAAGACACATACAACACAAGAGGGCGCTGCCACCTGATGAGTGCCACACTATCGCCACTGGCCAACGCAAAGGCTTGAGGATCAAGATGGGAACGCGGGGGAGCGAGAACTTGACGCAGCTCAGCGACTGCAGCAAGCGGCTGCGTGCCTTTCTGGTAGTTATGGCGAGGAGTGGGAACTACCGCGCGTCTTGAAGCTTCTTAGAAAAGCCGCTGCCCTTCTCAGTCGCAAATCCTCTAGACAAGCCGCTGCTGATGTCGCGAGACCTCTAGAAAAGCCGCTGCGCCGTCCTAAGTCGCAAAGCCTCGCGCTAGGCAAGCCGCTGCCGATTTCGCAAGACCTCTAGCAAAGCCGCTGCCGTCTTTTGGTCGCAAATCCTTTAGAAAGGGCGCTGCCGTCCTCGCAGGTTGCAGATCGTCTATAAAAGCCGGCGCCGTTCTAAGTCGCAAATCCTCTAGAGTAGACAAGCCGCTGCTGATGTCGCAAGACCTCTGAAAAGCCGCTGCGCCGTCCTAACTCGCAAAGCCTCTAGACAGGCCGCCTCTGATTTCGCAAGACCTCGAGAAAGGCCGCTGCGCCGTCTTAAGTCGCAAAGCCTCTAGACAAGCCGCCGCCGATTTCGCAAGACCTCTAGCAAAGCCGCTGCCGTCTTCGCAGGTCGCAAATCCTTTAGAAAAGCCGCCGCCGTCCTCGCAGGTCGCAAATGCTCTAGAAAAGCCGCTGCTGTTCTAGGTCGCAAATTCTCTAGACAAGCCGCTGCCGATCTCGCAAGACCTCAAAAAGGCCGCTGCCGTCTTCGCAGGTTGCGGCTCCTCGATAGAAGCCGGCGCCGTTTTAAGTCGCAAATCCTCTAGACAAGCCTCTGCCGCTGTCGCAAGACCTCTGGAAAGCCGCTGCGCCGTCTTAAGTCGCAAAGCTTGCCCCTAGACAAGCCGCTTCCGATTTCGCAAGACCTCTAGAAAAGCCGCTGCGCCGTCTTAAGTCGCAAAGCCTCTAGACAAGCCGCTGCCATGCATTTCGCAAGACCTCAGCAAAGCCGCTGCGCCGTCCTAAGTCACAAAGCCTCTAGACAAGCCGCCTCTGATTTCGCAAGAACTCTAGAAAGGCCGCCGCGCTGGAGTCAAGTTGTGTGATTCACTGTTAAGGTACTTGCAGATCTCCTTTGCTGCCTGCTTGGGGTGAATCTTGCGTCGCGCTTTCCCGTGGTCGGCTGCAAAGATGTCGCCCCAGGGCTCGATAGGGAGAATTGCAACCGACTGCAAAACTGCTGCGGCCGTGGTCTGGGTGTCGTGTATTAATTAGCTACGGCCGAACGCCAAGAAGAAGAGGCAGCTGCTGTTGTAGATCCACTACTCTACTCTAGTAGAACTAGAAGAAGCCACGTAAACACGCGCGGAAAAGGGGGAAGCTGCCTATCGGGGAAGTAGAATATGACGGGGAAGCGCTGCGCGTTGGTTGTTAGTTTGGTCTGCGATCTCCTCTCCGCAGCTTGGAAGCGGGAGTGGCTTCGCCTTTGCGTCTGGTTTCCGTTTTCCTCACCTTGCTAGGCCAGCTGCAAAGACGTCCCAAGTTGCGAAGGGGAGAACTGCAGCCGACCTGAAGACCGGCGCGCGCTGTCTTCGTTGGCTCACTGCTCTACACTACTAGAAGTCGCCGAGAGAAAAAAAGCTGGCGCTTTTTAACTCCAACGGTAGTCGCCGCCAGTCTGCGTAGCGCACCCACCTAAGAAGACGAAATACTGCCTCTGGCTCTGGGCACCCACGTCACAAGAAGGAAGAAGATAGAAGATAGACAGCGCAGGCTAGCTCTTTCCGTCGGTTAGCCAGCGCGCTCCTGCTGCTCATCTTGCTTTTTCGTGTGTCGTATGTCGCTGATGTCTATCCTGATGCTGTTGATTTTTTTTTTTAAGAGTATGACTCTAGGTGTATCGCGCTATATATTAGAGCTACTGCAGTTGTTCGCCGTTGTCATCGTTTTAATGTGCCGGGTGATCCATCGAAGTCGGGGGTGATTCTCGGCTGTTGCACCAATGTAACCGAGGTCGGCTGTTCTCTCCACGCAGCAACTTCCTCCACTGCGTGAGCACTTGAGTACTTTACCCAAGACGGAGCCAATTTCCAGGGAACTTGCTCACTTTGTTGCTTACGTTTTGCCCCCTTGCATATACGTGGAAACGTGCTAGCAGTCTAGCTCAGAACAGGCCTAGAACACATCGCCGACCAGTATAGGACGAGAACTGTTCGGGGCGCTCTGTCTTGCTTTGTCGTGCTTTGTCTTGTTTACGTGCAGAGCGTGCCTACTTTCTTGCCCTTTAGGCCTGCTGTCACTCGTTGGCCCGTGCAACGTCTTGCACAGCTGAACTCTGAAAAAAGTGGCTGACTTTAGATCTCTTGTCCTTCGTCGTGCTGCAACCTGCACGCAGTGCGCTCCTGTTGGCTGTCAGTTCTGGTTACACATATACGCGGCCACGTGCTTACAAATACAAGCTAGCTCAAAACAAACCTAGACTACATCGGCGAGGGATGGGCTTAAGTTAAGGCGAGAGTCGTCCAAGATGCTCTGCCTTGTTTTGTCGTGCTTTGTCAGTCTTGTTTACGTGAAAGGCGTAGCTCCTTTCTTGTTCTTTAGGCCTTGGCTTGCTGTCTCTCGTTGGCTCGTGCGGCGTCTTGTACAACTCTGACAAAGGTGGCCGGCTTTAGCTCTCTCGCCCCTCGTCGTGCCTCAACCTTCAGACAGTGCGCTTTTGTTGCTTGTCGTTTGTGGCTGCATCTGGCTGCACTGTAGTACTATCTAGGGCGTGCGTGCCTGTCTAGACCAATAAGAAAGCACGCTGCTGCGTGCTGCGTCACGCTTGAAATTGGGCACAGAAATTGCGCCTCCCTGCCGAAGCTCTCGGCGTCACGCGGTGGGCGTCGGTCACGCGTCACAAACAGCCCTGCGGCGTTCTGTAAGTCCCACCCCTCCCCCGGGGGGCACGAAGGGAATGGAGGAACTGCAGAGGGCCCAGGAAATACTGGGGGACGAGGAGAAACTCGACAAGGAGCCGGGGGCGACAACGTGGGTGAAGAGGTTGAAGACGAGGAGCATCGAGGAGGTGCCCCGCAGATGCCCGCAGTCGACACACTGGGGAGGGCTTTGGAATGCGGCGACGAGGGTGCTTCATGACACCAGGAGAGGGGAGAAGGAGGCATGGGACTGGGCAGCGTTTGAACATTGCGGCAGAGAGGGCCCCAAGGGGCCGCGGGGGCTCGTAGGGCACTGGGTCAAGACTGTGAAGAACAAGAGAGAAGGGAAGCCGGAGACGTGTGGGGAAAAGGCAGCGCGAAAGAAGCTCGCGGAGTGGAAAGGAGTGAAGAGGGAAGGGAGGCGTGAGGCAGGGGAAGGAGAAGAAGGAAGGGCGGGCAGCGATATGCGCAAGATTTTCTGGGAGTTTTACCTTGAGGGAACGGGAGCCACGGCAGAGGGAATTCTGACTGCTCTGGCGGAGGCAATAGAAGAGGGCGCGCGGCCATGGCAGGGGGCTGGGGTCTATGTGTGTGACAGAAGTGAGGCGGAGGAGGTGACGTGAGGGACCTTGCCAGGGATGCCATTTTCTGCATGGAGGTGCAGGAGGTAGGACGAGGAGGGAGAGGGGGGCGAGGTGCCTTGCCTCTGGCAGGTGAAGAGCTGCACGCAGGGGCAGCGCTTCAGACGTCAGAAGGCGCGGAATGTGTCAGATCAGCTACGGCATGAGCGAGGCGCGCGCGAATTGGCTGAAAGGTGCGAGGAGGATGTCACGAGGAAAGGCGAGAGCCGGTGGGAGGTTTTCCACGGGGTCGGGCGGCTGGAGTGGGACCCGGTCACGAAGGTGCAGGCGTGTCCATTTAAAACTAAAGCAAAGGCATGTCGATGGCTGAAGGGGCCGGGGGCTCAATTGTGTGAGGGGTGTGAAAGAATAGAGGGCGGGGAATGATGGGCAGAGCACAAACGGGCCAAAAAGGAAGAAAAGGAGAAAAGAGAGGACAAAGGGAGAAAACAGGAAGAAGAGAAGAGGGAACGCAAACGAAAAAGAGACGAAAAAGACGAAGAGGAAGAGGGGCGCAAGCTTGAGCAGAAGAGGAGAAAGAGGCGCAAACAGGTGGAGCAGGTGCGGGCGAGAGCAAGGAAGAGAGAGGGAAGAGAATGAGGAGAAGAGCCAGGAGGGAGAAAAGAGGAAGAGGGGCGGGCCTGCAAGTGTCAGTGACGGGGCGGAGGCAAACAAGGAGAGAAAAAGAGCAAAGAGCACGGAGGAGGTTGGGTGGGTAAAGTGGAGAAGGTGACGGCCGGCCCCTGGCGAAGAAGAGGACGGCGCCAGAAGGGAGGCAAGGGGAGAGCGCAGGGGCCAACTGGGCGAGGACAATTAAGGAGAGACGAAGGGAGGAAAAGGAGGGAAGAGGCGGCCACCAGTGAAAAGGGGCCAGAAACAAAAGCGGGGGCACAAAGTGCAGAACGGTGGGACGGCCCGACCCGGAGCGGGGGGGCGGGGTTGAAGGAAAGGGAAGGAAAGGGACAGGCCAAGAGGAGGCCAGAGAAACCCGCAAGGGAGAGCGGGAGGAAGGTGCGCAGGCTGCGAGTGCATGAGAAGGCAAGCGTGCAGGCGCGGAGCCGAAGCGCAGCGGAGTGAAAAAGGAGGCCAAAGGGAAGAGACGCACGGCCAAGGGCAGCCATGGAGGAGAGGGCAAGCCCAGCCATTGAAGAAAACGGGCTGGATAAAGTGAGGCCAGGAGGGCCGAGATGAAGGGGCCGCGTAAGGGGAGGCCCCCTGATAGGGAAAGTTGAGAAGGCGGGCGCCAGAGGCAGGCGCCGCATTTTCCTGGGGTCCTCCGGGGGGTTGGCGGTTGGAGTTCCGCGCCGTCTTTGCGGGGTCGAGCTTGCGGGGGCCTTTTAGTCTTTTGGAGAGGGACCCCCCTTTGAGGATTAGGGGGGCAAGGGACCGACGGAATCCCGCCCGACCCGATCGCTGGGCGCATCAAGTCAAGCCAACATAGCTGGACACCCAGGAGACACCGGCAAAGTGATGAATTGGGCAGCTACCGGCTTCGCACGCTGGCCCACTTGTCGCGTTCCACGCACTGAGGCTCGCAGCGCTGGCTCCTCGGTCCACCTCACTCGGAACAGCGAGCGCTGAGCCAAATGGTCGGTAGCTGTGCGCCCTTACGTAAATGCGGCACTTTCTGGAACAACGAGCAGGAACAGCCAAAAGGCCGCTGACAATCTAACAACAGGCTAGACCTTTAGCAGGCAGAAGTCGCGAGGGAAGCCCTACGCAGTTTGCTGAATAGATTCCCAGCATCATGCAGCAGCCCCCCTCCCCAAGAAACGGCTCGTCTTGCAGGTGATCTTCACAGAAGAGGACCATCTTCACAACTAGAGAGCAAGGCCCTGCTGTAGTAGGATTATCACTAGAATAAATATTGCCATCTCACTGACACTAGAGTCTAGGGATGGAACTTCACAGAGAGCAGCGCTAATTTTCTGATGACGTGCTGCCGCAGATGCGCAACATATCAGAAGACAAGGCATGGAAAAACGCAAAGGAAATAAGCAGATTTGAACTCCCACCAATATTTAGACAAGGTGCCTCTACTACTCACAATTTTGAGAATCGCATCCACTTCACGCACCTAGTGCAACTTAGTTGCAGTACTCATAATGAGAATTGCAATTGCATCTATATACCTTCACGTAGTACCTTTATGATTGAGAAACTTCGCCCCAATGCCCGACAAGCGAAGTTTTGGCGCGACAGCTGTTACTACGAAGAGCGTCGCCGCGGCTAGCGAGTATCGCCGGCCGCTGCGAGCACCATCCTCCAGGCTTGGGATTTCACAGCAAGCCGGCTGCCTCAGTTCGCGACAGCCCCACACCAGCCCCAGGGACAGCCCCATAGACCCACACACCCTCACGCCTTTGCTTGGCGTGTTGCCTGGCTCTTGGTGCGACTGACGCTGGCAGACCGGTTCCACGGGTCCCCCCACCTGGTGGCCACCAGCGTGACCCACCCACGGAGGGTGTGCGTGTGTTGTACAGGTGTGACAGTGACCCTGACAAGCCACCGCCGGCGAAAGCCGTCGCAGCCCGGTGTGGCGCATGACAGGCCACCTGACCACAGCCATGACGGTGGGCCTGAGCTGCCACCTGGATTCGGCTCGACCAGTCGGCTCGCTGTCTCACCACATGCCCACACGCGGCGCCATGGCTTGAGGATTGCGTGACCCCTACACACAGGCCCCGCGCCCGTCAACATTGCCCACGTGGTGACTCTAGGGCGACTTCCACAAAGTGGCCCCAGGTGCTGGGGGAGCCGCCCGCGTCCACCTTGTCGACTGTGGTGCTTTCTTGGTTTCTGCCATTCGTCCCGCCTTCACAGGGAAGGTGGGGGCCAGGGGTTGAGCAGCGCAGACATTCCCGGCGAGGGATCTCGCCAAAACTTCCTCTGTCATGGCTTGGGGCGAAATTTCCGAGTCATAACCTTCCGAGTACTTAGTAGTACTCTTTTTAACTATTTGGCTTTAGACGATTACCCACGCCCACCGTTCGTAACCACATTACCTAGTTACTTTCTGAAGATCAAACACAAAATATAATCGCAGGACTACCAGTCGTGGATCGAGTGACACCACAACATGGCCTAGCTTCATTTACCCCCGAGAATCGTGCCACTTCTCCGCAGAGTCCAGCTTCGTTCGGTACTCACTGGATCTGACATTCGTTGTGCTGTTTTGATCAAATTCACCTTTACTATTGTCTACTTACATTTTAAATTAATTCGTACATGTTCAACATCTTCTCTGAAGGATGAACAACGGTAATTTTCTCCCATGAGTAGAACAAGTAACTTCGAAGATTACGCAGGCACCAATCTCAATTCCACGGCATTGAGAGAAAAGTTGCCAATGGAAATGAAACGCTTTTCTGGTACTAGTGCTAGTAGTGTCCTACAATTCAGTATGGAATAATCAGCATGAAGATGAGTGCTCTATGTATTATTTTTGAGCAACGCGCACAAGGGGGCTCTCAACAGTTTCTATAATTCATTGAACTAGTTCAATAATTGTTGGCCATGTATGGCGCAAGCCTCTCGGATGTCGTGTTGTTCTCTTCTCAGTGGCTCACGCAAAGCCTCGCGCTCGACTGTCATCGGGATGATCTCGCAGGACATGAATGGCAATGGTCATGAGTGCAGCTTCCAACTCTCAACCATAGCGATCAACGGATAGACTAGGTATGGCTATCCTGATCCTAGTCGTATGATGCGTGTTCAGTCCGATCCCTTCTGACATGCTTCTGCTGATGGTGTATGATTCATCTTACCCAATGAACCAAACAGGGACTACGCCAGCCAGTTTTCATAAGTCGCAGGCAGGTACATCAAGGCTTGCTTGCTTTCAAGATTCCGACTCTGTGCCCTCACTGAGAAACGAACCTGGCGCGGAGGCCTGTGCTCTTGTGGTCCAGCACTGGCCTAACCCTTGAGCGGCAAAAGTGATTAAATTGGAAGGAGTGTAGTGGAATATATAAAACCATCAAAATGTCCGGCGAGGCCAAGGAGATCGCCAAGAAGTTGGGACAGAAATCCGACTGGCGCGAGTGGCAGCGAGCTGTATGCCAAGAAGCTAGCCGACTAGGCTTATACTTGAGAACTACACGAACGTAGTCAACGTACCGGCCGCCCCACATGGTGCGCCACAAGGTAACACCAGTCGCGAAGACGCGATCCGCCAGAAGTGGCGCAACCTGAAAGACGCAATCACTCGAAGTCTGAAAAGTGCGGCCAAGTCGTTCGTCGACAATCGGAATAATGATGGCGCGGCGGACGAAGTGGATGCTGGTGAAGTTGTTGCTCTACTTCGTGATCAAGGGAACTTCAGCGCGAACAATCGCCAGGAGCAGCGCATGAAGGTCAAGCCGTTGTCGGAGGGACTGATAAAGTTCCACAACAGCGACCAGCCTGCTGATGTCAGGGAGTTCCTGTCAAAGGTCCGCGACATCGTGAACCAATCGCCCACCGTCTTCCCGCCGGATGCAGATCTGCCCGAAGCTGATCAACAGAGCGGAGCGATCTTGCAGAAGTTGCCTGAGTTGTTCTGCAAGAACTTCAGGGTGACTATCGAGCGGATGCAAGAAGAAGACGATCCGACATTTGACCAAATTGGAGACCGACTTGAGAAACGTCTCACAACGTTGATCGAGGAGGGAACCTACAAAATTGAGAGCGATTCCTTCGGGAAAGCGTTCCCGGTCAATGTTCAGGAAGCCTCGAATAAGCGTCCTCGTGGTGATAAGAACGAGGATCGTGACGAGGTAGAGGCCAATAAGGCAGATGGTAGGACCTTCGTCTCCGCTAACGCCCGCAAGCGTTTCAAGCAGAAAGAAAAGAAGAAGGCAATCGCCGAGGTCTACAACTCCTACGGGCACCAACCCAAAGGAGGGAAAAACGGCGGACAAAAGCCGAAGAAAGATAAAGGAAAAGGGAATAAAAATACCTATCCACCCCGCTGCGCTTGCTGCCACAAGGTTGGGCGCAAGTCCTCCGAGTGCTGGCATAACACGCAAGCCCTTCATCAGGGACAGGGGAGCTGGACTACCGGAGCCATCTCGTAGCTCTAGCGGCAAAGGTGGAAAGGGTAATCAAGGTGGTATGGTCCACCTGTCGCAGGTTGCGGAGCTGTTCAGCGTCATGAACTCGCACAAGCAAAGCTGAGCAGCGGAACCGTACGAAGTTGGGAAGTGTTCGCTGAATTTCGAAGAAGATGAAATAATGGCCAATGTTGATAATCATGCTGATAGCTACAACACAGATGGGCATAGTTTCACAACGTTGAACACTAGGACACCAGATAGCTCTAGTTGACAGCTGTGCAAACAAATATCATTCACGACACAAAGACGATTTCGATGAAATTGGTAACAACATTTTTAGAATAACAGGTAGGGCAGGCACTAAAGATGGAAGAATAGGAAAACTCAAGAGCAACGCTTTCGGGCTAAAGAATGGAGCTTACTGTGATTCACTACCTGGAAACATAGATCGCGCATTGCCATGGTTAGGAGACGGAAACTGCTCGCAATTAGGGTGGGGGTTCAACTTTAAGGGCGCTGGTGGTTGTATCGTGCACACGGACACCGGCCAGATGCTACCCATCAGAGCTCACCCACGCCTGCAGCTACCCGCACTCGCATGCAGTTCCTTTGACGACAAGCATGAAAGTGGTTTGGTTTGCGCATCCATTGGAGAAGGTGTCTCTAGTTGCTATCTCACTCGATTAGAACTACACAGAAGATCTGGACACTTTCACATAGATGGCCTACAAGTTAGCTGCCCCGAATGCGACCTACATAAACTAAAGGACAACGAAAACCCCATGCAAAACCTAGAGACGTGACGACCTACAAACCCGAACCCCTCAAACTACTTGCAATAGACTTTGCCGTAGGGGTGGGACCTCTTTCACTTAGATCCATGGGGTGCGTTCTAGTCGTCATGTGTGACGTAATTAAGAAGGCGCTTTGTCGACCGCTGAAGCCCAAAAGTGACTGCGTGGAGGAAATGGAACAAGTCATAAAAGGCATTCGACAGGACTCCTCCCTATCGCTAGATGGCAAGGTAGTGCGGTTCATCCGGAGGGATGGGGAGCCAGTCCTCGGCAGTGATGACATGACCAAACTCATGCAACCGCTGCGGGTCTCAGACAATCCGGCTGCTCCTTATAGTCCGGAAATGAGTGGGGCTGTTGAACGTTTTATGCGGGCCTTGTTTGGCAGCGTGGGAACAATGCTAACGAAGGCTGGTCGATGTCTTTGGTGTTACTGTGTAGAATTCTTACAAGATCCAACGCCCAGCAAATGCATCCCCGAAAGCTGCCGAAAGTTCACACAAAACCAGCTCGCTAATTTCTGAAATTTATTGGTGCAGAAATTCGGGCGGATTGTTGTCCCTTTGGCTCTGTGCTAGTTGTGTGGTACTTTGTTGGGAGCTTACTCGTGTGGGCGTTCTGTCGTCTTCTGTCCGCTTGTTCTGTTCTTTTGGTCGCTTGGTCGTTGCTGCCAGTTCGTCGCCTTGTGCTTCCCTTCTGGGTACTCAGTCTGCTGAGCCGCGCGCCTGTCTTGCTTCGCGGGCTTGTGCGCCCGTTGTGTTAGCTGTTCCGCGGGCGGTTCGTCGGAGGCGTGCACTGTTGTGCGCTGGTGTCTTTTCAGTCGCCGGCGTTGGTCCAGAGAGTGCCTACGGCTTGTCTCCGATTCGTCGCTGGGGCGACGGCTTCGCTCCTTGTTTTGTGCTCGTGTGTTTGTTGGTGGGGCCAGGATCTTGCTTTCGTGTTTCGTGCCTTCGTCGTTGGCGGCATGGACACATATTAACTTACTCGCTTGCCCTCGGCTTGCCTCGTCGGTCTGTCACTGGATCGATGTAAGTATGGAGCGCAGGCGTGGACTGACTGAGTCTGAATGTGAGTGGTTCGCTGGCGCTAGATTATCTGTGTATCCATCTGCACGCTGGTAGCTCGGCGTCTTTGTTTCAGCAGCAAGGATAGAATGAACGGGAGAAAAATCTAGGTGGCTGGCAGACAGCTACTTTCTTAGCAAGCAAACCTGCCAGCGCTACCGAGGTTAGCTCCCTAAAAAGATACTACCTGATACATAGTAAGCATCCGTCTGCCACTTACGTACTTGGCTAGCTCCCTATGTTTGTATATTGATAGATACGGGGCGGCCTTCGCTCCTTACTGTGCGGCCCACGCAAGCGCCCCCCTGTCCACGCATGGGCGTGCTTGCGTGGTTGGATGGCCCACACCCTCCCCGCCCTCCAGGCTTTGCCAGCCTGTCCCCCTGTCTATAACTGTATCGGACTCCGCGCGGCTGTGCGTCAGTTCCAGTGCGTCTACAGAACCCGCGCGCCTGTGTCTGTGGGTGTCCAGCAGTCTGGGAACGAAGCTCCCCTGCGCTCGTGGGTTCGTTGGTGGGAAGGTACTGGCATGGGCTGGCCTCGCCATACATGAGTCAAGCAGTCAGCCTGTGTGAGTCCTTACTGATTGAAAGACGAAGCTAGCGGCGCAGGCTGGCACCAGCCTGCCTCGGTGGGTAGGCCCGCCGGTCGTCTACTACGTGCCAGCCTGCGCGCCAGTCCCTTTGTGTCGGTGTGCTTTCGTTTCTCCATAGCTCGCCCAGCATTACTACACGTCAGCGGCTGGCAACGCGCTGCATGTGCCTGATACGCGGGGGGTGGCTGTCCGTCAGTCTGGCTGGCTGCGGGTGCGCCTTACTTTCGTGCCTCGTTCTGCCAGCCTCGTTCGCTACCAAGCTGAAAGCTTACCACAGTCCGCGCCCTCTTTCGTTTGGTAGCTTTTTGATCAGGTTCGGCCGGTTTTTTTATCACAAAAAAACGAACGAGGGCCGAAAGTTGCCGAAAGTTTCAGCAGGGCCGAAAGTTGCCGAAAGCTGCCGAAAGATGCCGAAAGTTGCCGAAAGATGCCGAAGAGGGCCGAGAGTTGCCGAAAATTACCGAGAAAAACTTTCGGCAACTTTCGGCGTCTTTCGGCAGCTTTCGGCAACTTTCGGCAACTTTCGGCCCTGGTTCATTTTTTGCGATAAAAAAGCCGGCCGAATCTGTCCAAAAAACTACGAAACGAAAGGAGGCGCGGACTTTAGTAAATTTTCCAACTGGGCGGACGCTGAGCGTCAGCCACCCAATGAATGGGCCCAAGGGGTTCAAACTCCGCCCGCCCAAGCGAGCCCATGCACGACGAAGGCAGCCAGGGAATTAAGAGAGTAAGAAAGTGGCCAGGCGCCGCTACCTACTCAGTGGCTTAAACAGTCACACAGAAACACCCGCCACACCGAGCCCAGGCGGTCCCAGCTTGCTCCACTAACTAAGTGCGTGAGGCCTGCCTTGCCGAGTGGAATGAGTAGAGAACGAAAAGCACACACGCAGGCGGCGCGGATGCCCTACCTACGTGGGTAACGAAAGAGAGCCACAGCCGCCCTCCCACAGTCTGTCGTCGACACGTAGCACGCAGTACCTAGACACATCGCCGAGCGTTGGGGCCACTTGTCCGCCTACGGGGGACGCCGGCGCGTAGGTAGCTAGGTGCCAACCTGCGTACCTACGCAAGCATCTCGCTACGCCAAGACAGACCCAGAGCCAGCCAAGAAGTGGAGTGCCGAGGCATCGACGCGACGGGCCGAACGCTATGCGCACATAGTGACCAAGCGGACACGCCTAAATTTCTCACGTGCTAGCCACGCGCCGAGCTGTGTTTCGCTTGCTGGATCAATCCCCCTGGGCGGGCCGAACGGCGCCAGCTGCGTAGTTGTTCCCCCTGCTTTCAATTCACTCAGCCCCTGGAGCGAGCGAGCCCACGGGCAAGGGCTGGCGCCTTGTTGGCTTAGTTTTTTACTTAGCTCGTCAGCAATGAGTCTACGCTCGTCGCGTAGGGGACTAACTTTCTCGCAACGTAGGCGCGGCACCTAGCAAGAACAAGCGAAAGAATGAGCAAAACCATCCTTCCACCCGCGCCGCCGCGGGCGACGGACTGCGCGTGCGCGTGTGTCTATCAATCTATGGAAGCAAGTACGCGCTGCAAGTGCAAGCGCCCCCTTGCAAGGCTTAGCCGCTTGGTGGACTCTGTGTTCGCGCCTTGTCTGAAGTCAGTGACAGACTGGGTGAAAGGATGAAAAGGCCCAACAATGAAGCCGATGGCAATCAACTGAGCGACATGACTACAGCCAGCGAATTCACTAAGTAACTTGGAGGGACGACGGTGGGCCAGCCAGTGCGCGAGGCCTGTCGTCACGGAGCGAGCCGCCCCAGTTTGAAAGAGAAGCGGCCAGCCTTTCCAAAATAAATATCAACGGGCTTGGCTGTGTTTCTGCCTTGGGGAACGGTGTGGCTGAGTCTGCTCTGCTAGTTTCTGCCTTGGCCTTTATGGAGCCGCGGGGCGGTTTGTAGTGGTGTCGTGCCCGAAGGGCTTGGCAGTGGTCTGATTCTAGCCGCAACGGCATGGCCAACCTGCCACGACTCACGTGCGAAGAGTCTGCAAGACTTCTTGCAGTTTCGTCGAAAATTGATGAGCTGGCTTTGTGTGAACTTTCGGCAACATCTTTCGGCAGTCAGTGTCGGACTTGGCTGCTTAATCTTGTAAGAGTACGCTAGTGACTGCTGGGATCGTCTTCCGCATAATTACGCAAAAACGCCAGAAAGCGACGGAAGGAGTCCAATAGAGATTCTAGAGGAAAGAACTGGCGGAAGTGCTTCCAAAAGCAAAATCGGCATGCTCCGCCGATTTGGTTGTCTTGTTTACTTTCGTGCGTGAACAAATCCAAGCCAACACTCCTGAACCCAAGCTCTCGGCCAAGTATCGCCGTGGCGTCTTCCTTGGACTCTGTCTGAAGTCATCTGGTTGGTAGGTTGGTTGCTACTTTCGCTCATGGCGATCGTTGCAAGCTTGGCCACCGATGGGCGGAATGCTCTACCCTAGGTGTCAAGTTCAGAGAGGATTATCTAATACAGGACATAGGCTGGCTAATTCCAGATAAAAAGGGCTTTTGCTATGAGTGCGATGAACTGGAAAACCTGCGGCGTGGCGCGTCGTTGCTGGGCTCCCCCTTGGTTGGGCAGTCAGTGCAAAGGCTGGGTCAGCAATCGGGGCGCTCTGGCACGGAGCGCGCCTCAGGTGGACCGGCCGGCATTTCCGGGGAGCTATATGCTGAAACCTTAGAAAAGAAGGTAGAGCCCGACGTGGCTGACTCTCCTAAAGGTGCTTCACTTGAGGAGGGGAATGCTGAGGCGACGGGTCGAATCTCTGACCCGCCTCGTCTGATTAGATCGAAAGCGCCTTCTCCCGCACGTGTTGTGGCAGGCGAACGTCACACACACGGCAAGAAGCGTGGCCGACCGAAAGGAGCCAGGGATAAGGCTGGGGGAAGGATTCGTAGAAACAAATGGAAGAACTCAGAAAGAGTCTGGCGCTGTTCGCGAGTGCTATTGTGGCACGTGTGAGATC